CGTGACCTTTGTTATTGTTCGGCTTTTATTCCTTATTCATGAATTGCCGATCGTTTTATGGTATATGGTATGCATACACCTGTTTATTTTTCTGTCATTAACAAATTAACGTTAGTATTTTATTCTTTACATATCATGTTTTTTTCCCTATCTAATCGATGGCTCCAACTACGCCGACGAGTCGACGGTGACTGGCTCCTGCGTGATCAGGATATACTTCTTGAATTTGGGTAATGTGGAGTGACTATTTGTCGTTTTTGATATGGCTACTGAGGAAACCTGTACAAAACAACAAAACAGATATATGGACTGTGAGTATCGAACTACCCGGTAGCCACGGTCACTAACTAGTTTAATAACAAGACGACCAAACCAATCGATACATATCAAAATAATCATATTGAGTTTCTAATTTGTAGTGTGTGAATGCACGAAACAGTGAGGTGTGCAATCCGCAATTTGGGCTTAGAAGAATTCACTGGGTCAACGTCTGACCCGTTGACGCGACTGGATGGTTTGTGAGGATTGAATATCACTAACACTGGTGTCTTTTACTGCTAGTAAGTCGTCTTGCTCGTAGAACGGATGGCCGTTGGAGCCAGAAAGTTCTTGAGTGGGGACCGCGTACCGGAAGATGTAGCGTGGGTAGGCCTCCCACAAGATGGATCGACGATCTATCAAGGTTCGCGGGAATCCGCTGGATGCAGGCAGCGCAGAACCGGTTCTTGTGGCGACGCTTGGAGGAGGCCTATGTGCAGCAGTGGACGTCTGTGGGCTGATAAGAAGAAGAAGTCGTCTTGCGAGCCCGGGTAGGTAGGTACCACCGCCCTGCTTACTTCTGCCGCGAAGCGGTAATGCGTTTCAGTTTGTAGGGTGGGGCAGTGGTTGTAAAAGTTAGACTTAGAACTATCACATCGTGTAATAAAAATGAAACCCGCAAAATTATTATTTGCGTAATTACTGGTGGTAGGACCTCTTGTGAGTCCGCACGGGTAGGTACCACCACCCTGCCTATTTCTGCCGTGAAGCAGTAATGCGTTTCGGTTTGAAGGGCGGGGCAGCCGTTGTAACTATAATTGAGACTTTAGAACTTATATCTCAAGATGGGTGGCGCATTTACGTTGTAGATGTCTATGGGCTCCAGTAACCACTTAACACCAGGTGAGCTGTGAGCTCGTCCATTCATATAAGCAATAAAAAAAAAAAATGTGAGTGGCAACACTAAAATTGTTGTTGGCTCCGATAGACACTTAACATCAAGGTTGACGGTGACTAACCCGTCAACGCAATAAAGCCGCCTGTACTGCTTGAAATTTAAGTTCCTTCCAAGCAATACCTTATGCCACCATACGCTTCGACGACACCATTGTCCTAGATCTTAGTGAAATCAGTTTAAGTTCCTTCTAAGCAAACATATTTTTCTACCTTACCCTTCGGCGATATGAATGACCCAGGTCTTACTGGAAGTTGGTTGTAAGCGAGTTAGGCATGTTTCGCATTTACTGCAATCAAGCCGATTACATAATCACGTAAATTTCTCGTATGCTAGGGCCCCATATACATCAAAATCTGAAGCTACTCACGTTGACACAAGAAGTACAGCTCCTAGCTCTGTCTGTTGTTACACAACGATCCTACCTTTCAAGCCAGAATCAATGTTTCGCGGCAAAATGCTAGTGCTAGCTTATAAAAATTAGTTACTAACGTTCCTCGACGTGGCCCAAAACACATCATTACGGATCCTCCCGATCCATTAACGGTGCTTTTAGGTACCACAAGCACCGGTCACCGTCCTCCGAACCCGCCGAACCCGTCGCTTGCGACGAAGGGCTCTATGTGTAAGGTAAGCAAAGACACAGCCCACTGAATTTCTCGCCGGATCTTCTCAGTGAGTCGCGTTTTCGATCCGGTGGTAGATTCTACGAAGCACTGCTCTTGTTAGGGCCAGTGTTAGCAACACTCCGGTTTGAGCCCCGTGAGCTCACATACACGTCAAAGAGAAGCTGAAATAGCCTCTCAAGGCTATCAGCATAGGTAGAAAAACATAAAAAAACTAAACTTAAAAATAAAACATCATTTAATATCCCAAACCTTTATTATTCACATTAAACTATTTACTTAATCATTTATCTTTAACTTCCTATTTAATTAATATAAATACTATGACTAGATTTNTTTGAGCCCCGTGAGCTCACATACACGTCAAAGAGAAGCTGAAATAGCCTCTCAAGGCTATCAGCATAGGTAGAAAAACATAAAAAAACTAAACTTAAAAATAAAACATCATTTAATATCCCAAACCTTTATTATTCACATTAAACTATTTACTTAATCATTTATCTTTAACTTCCTATTTAATTAATATAAATACTATGACTAGATTTTAAAAAAAAACGATAATTTCAATGGTGATGTTCAATTAATGAATCTAGAAAAAGGAAACGAATTCAGAATAATTATTTTTCTTTCCATTCGCATGTTCACAATTTTTCTGCTAATTATGCATCTCTATACCGTGCATACTCAATCAATGTGATCAAATTAGACTAGATACAATTCGATTAGTTGCAATCAAAGACGCCCTAATATCAAATAATAATTTAAGCACACAACAATCGGACTAATTAAATTTGGCAGTAATTCAATGGTAAGTTGAGCAAACACTTATTTGGCATTGGCATAAATTAGATATTATCACTAAAAGTCTTTAATTTGGCGTAATTAAACAGCTCATGGCCGGTAATTGTAAACAGTACATTTTATTCTTTCTAATTTGTGTCCACATTGTTTTTAACGAATATAATCTTGTGCATCTTTGGTTTAATCCAACAATTTTGCCATCGCACTCTTTGTTATGATACTGTTATTATTATTACCGAAGTTTTAATAGTTTCTTCTTCGACTTTTGAGAGTCATGAACATATAATAATTTAAACTACTTTTACCGTTTCAACTCTTGCTTTCAATAGTTTCAAACTGCATGAATTTGTGTTCGCAAATAAAAGGTAAAATGTCCAATATCAATAGTTTTATAGACTACTAGCTTTTGCCTGCGACTTCATCCGCGTGGAATAGTTACTTTAGCATAACGCTAAATTTTACCCCCCACTTCATTTACATTCTTGAAGAAACATTCTTTATCGGTGCTTCACTTGTATTGGTCTTACCGTGATGTTATATAGCCTATAGCCTTCCTCAATAAATGGGCTCTCTAATACTGAAAGAATTTTTCAAATCGGACCAGCAGTTCCTGAGATTAGCGCGTTCAAACAAACAAACAAACTCTTCAGCTTCATAATATTACTAGCTGTACCCGTCCGCTTCGTTGGGCGTTTAAAATTAACATTATTATTTGAAAAAAAAATGGCTTATTTTGATCATAAATAACAGTTGTAGTCAATTTTATTGTTCGTAGATTATGACGAAATACCATTGAATGATATTAAGCAGATAAATAAATGGGATTACGTCTCTGATTAATTATAATAGAATATTGGACTATCCGCCATTTTGTTTTTTTAATTTATTTTAAATGCGCACACTAATTACACTTATTACATCCATATCAATTTAGGAAGCAGATAAGCAAAATAATCAAAGTATTTAGTGAGTTTGCAGTCAGTTATTTCGATCATAGACTTATTTCGGTCATAATTTATAAAAGTTTAATAAATGAACAAAATATTGGTAAATTCCCTAGTCTTAAATGACCGGTAGAGACATTAGTATCATTGTTTTATATGTATTTAGTTTAATAAAATACGAAATGAGTACTTTCAAAATACTTATATAATAGAAAATATCAGTCTTATAATAAATATAATATGGAAATAAGATAAAGATATGGTGTTTTTGAGTTATTAAACATATTTCGAAATTTGGACACAGAACAATTAATACCATGGACGGGACTATGCAAGAATGACGTCTAAGTGTTTTTTTAATTAAATTTTTATTAGCCCATATATGAAGGCGGAGAGGCAGTAAAATGTAATGTCTATGATCAAATATGAGCGCTCGTGAATATGATTAGATCACATCACTCGCCTGGTCCTGAGCACCTTTTCTCGCACGAAGGGGATTTTATTATCCCCATTAGTAGCTTTTAAAATTTAGAGGCTAAAATTTAACTGTTTTTATTTTATTTTATCGGAGAGTACGTGGACGATTCTCATCAGAAACAGCTAGGATAGTCGAATCAGGAATAACAGAATTAGTAATGTGGGTTTTATTTTTATTAGAAGACTAGCTGACCTGGTAGACTTCGTAGTGCCTCAATCGACAAATAAAGGACCTAAACTTTTGTAAAGTAAACCTAAAACAAACAAAAGGAATCCGTAGGACGGGGGACATCAAAGGGAAAACAAAATTGTCATTTTTATTTAATTCCGAGCATTTTCATATTTATCTACCTTTTAAACCTTCTCTGGACTTCCACAAAAAATTCAAGACCAAAATTAGCCAAATCGGTCCAGTCGTTTTCGAGTTTTAGCGAGACTAACGAACAGCAATTCATTTTTATATATAGAGATGCTTTTTCTTATTTATATTTTATGTAACCACGCCTTAAGTACGCTGCTCTTTGCACTGATACCTACCTACTTGTGGCAGTCGCATTTTTAGCTTTCCCTTAGAAAAAATTAATCATTTCTGCATAACCACGTCCATTTATGTTACATACAATCTTATCTGGTTCTTTCATAAAATTATTTAATATAATACTAAGTTAATCATCATTGATATGCTTTTACATAAAATTATAATTACTACTTATCCCGAATGTAATTTAAGTACTGAATTACTTAATTGCACTTACATACAAAATAAAGTTTATCGAATATAATTATTGTATAAATCGCTACAGTTACTCCTATTTTATTAACAAAATTTTTACTACGAAAATATGATCCGTGTCCAGCAGTGGGATGAAAATTAACTAATAATCATTCCCACGGTTCAAAATATTTCCATAGAGAATTTTGTTAAAATCGGGACATTGGTTGCAGCGCCAATGAGTCCGGTCAAGATTGAGATAAAATAGGTTATTCAGCAATATAGCGTCGTGAGGTCGTTTCTCGTTGTTACCTATGATGTGGAGTGCGACAATGTCCTAAAGAAAGAAAAAAACAGGACGTAAAATAAAAATAAATTCATTTGACTAAAAGGAATGTAGTAAGGACTGACAATTTACTGGTGGTAGGATTTCTTGTGAGTCCGCGCGGGTAGGTACCACCACCCTGCCTATTTCTGCCGTGAAGCAGTAATGCGTTTCGGTTTGAAGTGTGGAGCAGCTGTTGTAACTATACCTTAGGACTTATATCTCAAGGTGGGTGGCGGCATTTACGTTGTCTATGGGCTACAGTAACCAATTAACACCAGGTGGGCTGTGAGCTCAGAAGCTATCTCGCGGCCGAAATAGGCAGGGTGGTGATACCTACCCGTGCGGACTCACAAGGCATCCTACCACCAGTAACTGGACCCTTAACAAACTAGTTCAGCAAATGGAATGCTGGACGTTCTCTAGGTGTGTCTGATCAGACCTTTTTTTTTATTGCCCTTGTAGGCAGACGAGCATACGGCCCACCTGATGGTGAGTGGTTACCGTCGCCCATGGACTTCAGCAATGTCAGGGGCAGAGCTAAGCCGCTGCCTACCGCTTAATACTCTCCACAAGCCTCGTTTGAAGAAGGACATGTCATAGCGCTCGGGAAACACCGTGGAGGGGAGCTCATTCCATAGCCGGATGGTACGTGGCAAAAAAGATCTATGGAAACGCACTGTGGATGACCGCAGTGGTTCCAGGTAGTATGGATGAGTTCTACTCCGGTGGCAGCCGTTGCGATGGTAAAAACGAGATGCCGGTATCATCTCGAACAATTCCTCAGAGCACTCCCCATGGAACATACGGTATAAAATACAGAGGGAACCAAAGTCCCCCCGCAGACCCAGAGGTTCCAAACATCATCTTGGGAGGACATCGGGTACTCACGTCTCGGTATCGCGGTGACGGTAGCTTTCGAAGTGCTGTCGCTGTCGTCGGATTCGGAGCGATTTTGAAAGCTCGTTTCTGGAAGCAATCGATTTATTTATACAAAGAACTAGGGGTCCGCTCTGGCTCCGTTCGGGTCTTTAACAGAAATTTAGAGAATATTTGACGTTGTTCTATTTTTTTAAATAAAAGAACACTTATTGCGGCATAACTATAACAGTTAGGCATATGCTGTTGTGACACTTTTTGTAAATAATAATGTGTTCTACAAAGTTGTAATACATTATTTTAATCTATCATCAATAGTTTTCGCAGGGTACGCGATGTAAAGAATATTTTAGGTAATTTTTTTACACCTTGCGTTACATTATCGGAGTTTTAGTAAGGATCCTTATTTTTTTTAAAAAAAGATTATAACCTTTGTCACTCGGGAATAGTGTAGCTTCCAAACAGTTAAAGACTTTTTCATATCGGTTCAGTAGTTTCGGAGCCTATTCAATACAAACAAACAAACAAATCTTTCCTCTTTATAATATTAGTATAGATAAACACAACAGAATTTCACATTATGATTAGGTGAATATTGAGTTCTCCCCGAAGATTTTACAACGTAAGCGCCAACATCCACTTTGAGACAGGCGGGGGAAAACTCGATTGAAGAGAGTATGTCATTGTGGTCGTCCGTCTTTCTTAGTTTTGCTGAATCCTAATTGTATCTTTGTTGTTTATCTTTGTTGTATTGGATGTCCTACATCAACCTCATCACTGTCTAACCATATAAGTACGTCTAGTCCTAGTCCAGGCCTAGTCTAGGCTTAGTCCGGGCCTAGTCTAGTCTTAGATCGGGCCTATTCTAGTCCTAGTCCAGGCCTAGTCTAGTCCTAGTCCGAGTCTAGTGCAGTACTAGTCCGGGCCTGGTCCAGTCCTAGTCCGATCCTAGTTCAGTCCGATGTTCACATGCCATCGGTCCAAGCTGAAATAAACAAACTGAGCTAACAATCAATTTTACATTATTTATTCTGTTGATATTGATCAGGATATTAGAGCGAAGTTATCAAATAAATGTATTGCTATTCGTCTTTGATGCGTGCGCAGTTTAGAAGTTGATGTAAATGACGTTAAAAAAAGCGTTAATATACAAACTAAGGTACTAAGATAATAAAAACGCGTTGACAAGAAAATGTCACTGAACGAAGTAGCTTCAAACAGTATAATAGATCAGACCAATTTCAACAGAAGACAAGCTAAAAGACACATTTTGTTTGGTCAAGTATTGTTTGAATTCGGAACGTCAAAGGTGTCAACGAGCGACGTCCGCTATGACGCCTTACCCCTTTCCATTTCCAGCCGTCAAGGGCGACACATCTGTTTCTTATTTCTTATAGTCATTAATTTTAAATTCTTTATTTTGTCACTTATAGATAAATAAAATCAAAATAATAATACAGTCCACTCTTATTCACAACGCAACAAGTATTCCTAACTCATTTTCCCGTTCGTATGAATATCGTCTCGCATTTTGAAACATTTACAACACTAATCAGAAATAATAACGGTAATCGAATTAAAAATAATTTAACGAGATCATTAAGCATCAATCTTCGTTGTATTTTAATTAAGAATTATTTTCGTTCTAATTAATATTAATGATTATAATATTTCAAAATAATTTAAGGTGCTTGCTTGGCGTTTGGCTTACTACTTTTTTGGGTTGAAATTAAAAACCCATAGAGTTTGCTCGCAGATATTTTTATGTTTTTTTTTTTTAATTCCTAACTATGCTGGTAGCCTTGAGAGGCTATTTCAGCTTCACCCTAACGTGTTGGTGAGATCACGGGGCTCAAACCGGAGTGGTGCTAACACTGACCTTAGCAAGAGCCGTGCTTCGCAGAATCTACCACCGGATCGGAAACGCGACCCACTGAGAAGATCCGGCGAGAAATTCAGTGGGCTGTGTCTATGGGTTAATTTACTCGTCGAGCCCTTCGTCGCAAGCGACGGGTTCGACGAGGACGGTGACCGGTGCTTGAGGTACTTAAAAGCACCGTTAATAGATCGAGAGGATCCGTAATGACGTGTTTAGGGCGACGTCGTTTACCATTCGGTCTACAGGATCGGGTATGACTGTTCGTAGATGGCATACCATAAAAGACCACAAGCTGTGCCTCTGGTATTGCTGACGACCATGAGCGACGGTGAGTACTTAGCATAAGGTGGACTATGCTCCTCTGCCAACAGTGGCAAAAAAATTACCCCTTTTCTAAGTCTTTTTTTTTGTTTATGGCTTAGAAGGGTGGATGAGCTCACAGTCCACCTGGTGTTGAGTGGTTACTGGAGCCCATAGACATCTACAACGTAAATGCACCACCCACCTTGAGATATCAGTTCTAAGGTCTCAGTATAGTTACAACGACTGCCCCGCCCTTCAAATCGTATTTTTTTTTAAATCTGGCTTCCATCATTTGTTGTCATACGGAAGAAAGGCTTGGAGTCTACGCCGTTGCAAGTACATTTCATCTTCAATTGGGCGTATTCAAACAATTTAACGAAACATTTCCAGTTCCCCAAAACATCTTGATCTCTCAACACGAACACGGTCAAACGGGGGAGCGGGTCATTCATTTTGTTTAACGGGATCCGAATTAATCGAGTCACGAGTCTCGTGAGGTTTAGAGAAATGGGCTAGTGGATCAGTTTTTAATAGAATCGTAGTTCTGACTTGTCGTCAATAGATGTCGCTGTTAGAATTCGCGCTCTTTTTGGCTGTCCAAATTTTTACAGTTTGATAATTTTTTTTTTACTAAATTAAATTATTATATTTTATTATTATATTATAATTAATTATTCGCCTCGGCCAACAATTACATGTGATCTGAGGCTTTTCTTATTTTCCTTCCCAAGGGGAGTTTTTTTTTTTTCTGCAGGACAAAATCGCCGGATCCGGTATCGGTATGTGGGAGTTGAATCTCACTAAAAACTCCTGCCGCTCACAGCCGGCGCCCTACCTCGGACCGGGTAATATACTTTTATTTATTTATTTAAAAAAAAGTCACAAATATTTAACATTGAAAATAACTTTTAAATAAAATAACTTTGGCGATTCATCGGCTCGAAGATGGAATACAATAATAAAAAAAGGAATACCTAATGAAAACATACTATGAAATTCAAATTTAACAAGTAATACAGTGATAAATGTTAAAATATTGATATGAATGTCTAATAAATGTCATGTGATATCAAAAAGAAAAGAATATAATATATGTCAATATAATTACAAGTAACAACAAGTCAGTTATAAAACAACAAATGATTGAAGATTATAGTTAAGGTGCGGTTTTTCTTTCTCTTTTTATTTTGTCCTTAAATACGCGCAACTTATCGTAATATGAAAATTTGTAATTGTAGGCCTGCTCGGGTTGGTACGACCTTGCTGCTTATTCTGGCCGCGTCAAGCAATCATGGTAGGAAAAGCGGACAGGCAATGGAAACTACACGTTTCAAGATGGCGGCGGCATTTCGGTTTACTGACTCTAACTCTATGGATTCTAGTAACCACGTAACATTATATGGACTGTAAATTCATTTAGTTATTACATTGATATATTAGTAGGGATGCAGCCCTACTAATACCGATCATCATGAAACTTTGTGCACATATTCTTGGAGGTATTAGAAGTAACATAGGATACTTTTTATTAAGAAAAAAAAAATTTTTTTTTACGATAAATAAAAAAATTGTTTGTCAAAAAATCTCAAAATCTAGCTTCTTCAACGCCATCTACCGATTCAGTAATGAAGTTCCAATCCTGAGTACTGTAAATGAAGTCGCGGGTAAAATTTAACGTTATGTCAAAGTAACTATTCCACGCGGACGAATTCGCGGGCAAAAGCTAGTAATAAATAAAGCTTTTATTACCATTGCGTACATTAGTGGTGGTACTTTATTTTTAAGGCTCATTGCAAAACTAATTAAATCGTTAAACCAACATTCAGACACAATAACAAGATCCCAACTAAATATCGTGTACTCGCGCGAAAGTTCGACTTGTTGAGCTTCCGAAGCGCCGAGCCTCCTTCGAAAGCTCGTTATTAATAAAATTCCTCCGAAGTAATCTAACTTCGCTTTTCCAATTAAAAAGATAAGTCGTAAAACTTTAACAATGGACATTAATTAACACATTTTATGATTATATTTAGGCAGCTTCTCATTCAGTTAAGTGAAACGGGGTGCTTTGGTGGAATTATGACGACCTATTAGATTTCAGGCTATCTGACAATGTTCTAGTTGAAATGAAATAAAAAACATACCTTTTTTATTGCTTATATAGGTGGACGAGCTGACAGCCCACCTGTTGTTAAGTGGTTACTGGAGCCCACAGACATCTACAGCGCAAATGCCGCCACCCACCTTGAGACGTGAGTTCTAAGGTTTCAGCAAAGTTAAAACGGCTGCCCTACCCTTCAAACCGAAACGCATTACTGCTTCACGCCAGAAATAGGCGGGGTGGTGGTATCTATCTATGCGGACTCACTAGAAGTCCTACCTGTGTGAATTTTCTTACCTGTATCAAACCTTGGTCTACTGGGCAGCCTGCTTGGCAGATCCTGGTTCTCGACGTGGTCAAAAGTCCGGAAACCCAAGGCAAACTCGGCGTAAGGACTTATCTCGAACATTTCTGGATCAAGTATTCTTTGTTATTATAAAGCGTGCGTCCAGTACAGGCATGCGATCGAACTAAGCAAACTCATGTTGGTTTAGTACTGAAGCAGCCCTGTACTGCTTTAATCTATACTAGATGATGACCGGTTTTTGGAACGAAGTTCCTTATCGCGCGTTGTGAAAGGGGGCTAGACGGAAAAAATTCTTACGAAAAGTTGTCACGACACTTTTTAGAACCGTAATTCTGACCAATCAACGTGTAGGCGCTTATCGCGTGACATTGCTCGTATCCGATTGGTCCGCGTAATGAGTAGAGTTTCTCGAGATAGCGTTTCAACAATAGTAATTTAGTTCATAGTATTGTTTTTTTCTTCTTCATAATGCCGTAATTTATTAATATAACTTAAAAAAAAAATTACAATTCCTTCACTAATTAATCGAAAGGAACTTCGTTCCATCCGGGTGTCCCTTGACACCTCTGAAGTTTTTGTTTTTTTTGATAACGCCATCTTGTGTCTTTAAAGCGGTTAGTTGCCCTCAATTAAGAAAAATAGTATTATTATCCGCCAATAGATGTCGGGAAGAGTTGATTATTGAAAACACGAATAAAACAACATTTTCTAAAAATAAATCGTAGCTAGATCGATTTATCGCCCCCGAAATCCCCTGTATACTAAATTTTATGAAAATTGTTTGAGCCGTTTTCGAGATTCAGATTATATATATAGATAGATATACAAGAATTGCTCGTTTATAGGTATAAGATAAGTTAAGATACATTAAAATGAATTTGTGTTCGTTAGTCTCGCTAAAACTCGAGAACGGCTGGACCGATTTCGCTAATTTTGGTCTTGAATTATTTGTGGAAGTCCAGAGAAGGTTTAAAAGGTAGATAAAAATATGAAAATGCTCGGAATTAAATAAAAATAACAATTTCGGATTCCTTTTGTTTTTTTTAAATTTATTTTATACAAAATTTTAGGTATTTTATGTATCGATTGAGGCACTATGAAGTCTGCCGGGTCAGCTAGTAAGTAATAAGATTTTATGTAGTTTATGTTGTCGAAACTCGGGAGTATTGGTGACTTTAAATTAACAAAATCCATGGCTTTCACACTGTCTCTATTTCTCCGGTTTATTCAAAATTTTCTCACACCATCGGACCGACTCGTTAGCTCATGACCAAACAGTTTTTTTTTTATTGCCCTTCTAGGCACACGGCCCACCTGATTGTGAGTGGTTACCGTCGCCCTTGGACTTCAGAAATGCCAGAGGCAGAGTCAAGCCGCTGCCTACCGCTTAATACTCTCCATAAGCCTCGTTTGAAGAAGGACATGTCATAGTGCTATCAAAACTGCTATCAATGTTTCATAGGGCGGATACCACTGTATTACGGCTGTCACACCCCTAAAACGGGCTCGCCTCTCGGCTGGAGATATTTTAGTAGTAATTAACTTTGGGGGTTCACAATTTAAATATAGGTATTATTAGATTATTTTTTTATAGATTAGTTTGTATTATTTTAGTTTTAGTAGTTTAGTTTATTATTTTATAGATTAGATTAGTTTATAGATTAAAATTACAGGCAGCGGTAGAATAGCAGCGATAGCTTCAGCTATCACAAAGCTGAGCCGCGGCCTTTTTATCTCCACTGTCAGTTTAATTAATACTAGTGGTCCCCCGGTAGTCGAAATTCGATTATAATTAATTGAAATTATAAATTTGTACACTATTATGATTCTATTGTCAAAGACTATTAAACTTCTATTAAACACAGATTTCGCTAACACTACACTTTAGACTTAGAAATATTAATAAAGACAAACAATATTTAATCTATTCTCAATTTGACCAGCGACTATAAGCAATAATAAAGGTTTGACAATAAACAAATAGTATGCATGCGTATGTGTGTGTCAAATACACGGTAGTGTGTGTAATGGTTTTATTATTGATTTCATGTATTCTTAATGCATAATTAAAAAAAATATTAGCATACGGCACTCCTTCTCTATATTCTCTATAAGTGTGGGAAATTTCATACTCCGCCGTCCGCGCAATTTTCGTAAAAAGGGATACAAAGTTTTTCCTTCACGTATTAATATATAGATATTGTAATATTGTTTAGATAGAATTAGAAATTTATATCATATTAATTGAAAAGTTATTTGTATTGTGGAGTAAATAAATGTAATTATTTATATTTATTTATTATTATATAACGACACATATTATTTTGCTTACCATTTTTGCTACCCTTGCGGATTTGCACAGGCGAGGTATAGATTCTTGGAGCCTGAGCGTATCTGTCCTTGTGTTCGGAATGCGAGGCGACACTCTCGTTTCTGGACTTGACTTCCTCAGCAATCGAGTGTCGATACTGGGAGGCGTAGTTCTGCCTGTGTCCATAAATAGGCTATTTAGAAACTAAAAGTTATGTTTGATAGGGCTGTTTTATGATCGAACATTAAGATCGACAGTAAGCTACGGTCTTGGGTCAAGAAGCTCAAGCTAATACTACCTTGAAGAAGAATGGTTTTATTTATTTATTTTTATTGCATAGTTGGGTGGACGAGCTCACAGCCCACCTGCTGATAAGTGGTTACCGGAGCCCATAGACATCTACAACGTAAATGCCGCCACCCCCTTGAGATATGAGTTCTGAGAAACGCATTACTGCTTCACGGCAGAAATAGGCATGGTGGTGGCACCTACCCTTGCGGACTCACAAGAGGTAGGACCTCTAGTGAGTAGGTCCACCGGTATGTAGTATTCGTGGAATCAATGAAATGACCTTGTCATCTTTGTTATATTACTATCAATCACCATCCTTACTTTTCAAAAGCCTTGTGACTTACAAAACGCGCTGTTATTAAAGAAACTCCTCTTCGAAAGGGGCTCGTTCTTAGCGATTGACCGTCTCAGCCGGTAACTATGGGCGACTGTGATTTATGAAAAAACAAACCTCGCCCCTAGAAAATAAGGACGATTTAAGACGACCACGACTTACCTATGCCTCTTTAGTAGTATACAGAAAAACGCCAGCAGACACACGACGAGTAGTATCGAGCTGCAGACGATGACTAGCATGTTCAGGTCGAAGAACTCCAAGGGAGGGCCCACTTCCTCTGGAACAGATTCTTACATTGTTGATAGCTTTTCTGGTGTGTCTTATTCATTGCTTGGACTAAGAGCTAACGTCACTTCTGGTGTTAAGTCGTAGTGGCCTAAGGGATAAGACGTGCGGTGCATTCGTGTTGAGCGATGCACCGGTGTTCGAATCTCAGACGGGTACCAATTTTTCTAATGAAATACGTACTCAACAAATGTTGACGATTGACTTCCACGGTGAAGGAATAACATCGTGTAATAAAAATCAAACCCGCAAAATTTTAATTTGCGTAATTACTGGTGGTAGGACCTCTTGTGAGTCCGCACCGGTAGGTACCGCCACCCCGCCTATTTCTGCCGTGAAGTAGTAATGCGGCTTGAAGGGTGGGATAGCCGTTGTAACTATACTGAGGCCTTAGAACTTATATTTCAAGGTGGGTGGCGCATTTTACGTTGTAGATGTCTATGGGCTCCAGTAACCACTGAACACCCGATGGGCTGTGAGCTCGTCTACCCATCTAAGCAATAAAAAAAAAACTGGTGTTAAGTGGTTATTGAACCCCATGGACATCAACAATGTAAATATTGCTATCACCAAAATCAAATCAAAATCAAAGTATCAGGCTAACAGTACAAAGGCAGCTCCTCCCCTACAAACCGAAGGACATTACTGCTTCACGGCAGAAATAGGAAGAGCGGTGGTAACTACCCGTGCGGACTCACAAGACGTCCTGCCGTCATTAATTACGAAAATTATTATTTTACTGTACTATGTTTCGGACGATTATTCACTTTCATTGTGGAAGTCCTTCTAGAACACGTGCTAATTATAAATTTTACTTGAATAAATAATAGTTTAAAAAAATTTAACGAAATACGCTTTTATAGAAAATCCAACTAACGCTTTTTTTTACAATAAAATAATTTTTTCTAATACTATTTTTTATTCATATTTATTAAAAAAAAAATATTATTTTTTAGTTGAATTAAAAAAAAAAATTTCAATTTTTTTTTTATATTGAGTTGTCATCGGTCCTTAATAAGTATACTCCAAGGATATTTCGAATTAATCCGACGTTTTGAAGGCGGTCAAAATCATGTTCAAAGATTCCGTTATATACTAACATACATACATCTGAAGCTAATAAAAGCGTATTAAAAATTGATATGTGCCTGTGGGATTCGACCACTGGCACTTACGGATTGTTCGATACGAATGCACCGGGCGTCTTATCCTTTAGGCCACGACGACTTCAGTCAAGAGAGCATCGGTTGTTTTAATTATCAAAAAACTGACACATAATAGCTTGGTAAATACTTGCAAACTTTCAAATTTATTACACTTTCATTGTCGAACACTCTCTAATCATCATAGCAGGTAATTCAAAAGCTCAAAGCTATCGAAACTTCGGCAACAACAGTATAATCAAAGTTGCCGCCGAAAGCTTGCGACAACAAAACTTTAGGCATTCAAAACGTTGGGATTGATAAAGTTGCGTCATTAAACTGTGAGAGCTCTCGGGTTGTCATATGAACTTAAGTAGAATTAATGAAAGATTCTTAAAATAATAAGTCATTGTCTTATACTGTTATTAACTTTATTAGGACCTCTTGTGAGTCCGCGCGGGTAGGTACCACCGCTCTGCCTATTTCAGCCGTGAAGCAGTAATGCGTTTCGCTCTGAAGGGTAGGGCGGCCGTTGTAACTATACTGAGATCTTAGAACTTAAACCTCAAGGTGGGTGGCGCATTTACGTTGTAGATGTCTATGGGTTCCAGTAACCACTTAACACCAGGTGGGCTGTGAGCTCGTCTACCCATCAAAGTAGTAAAAAAAATGTCTTATTGTGTCATCCATTCTTAATACTAATGCCAAAAAGCTACCGAGCATTTCCATCGCACTAATTACTAAAAAAATGGTGCGCGGGCAACTTAGTGCACGTGAAAGAAGTGAAACTTCTTTTGCGGTGTTTAGTATAGTAGTTTTCTTAAATTGTCATCCTTAAATTAAATTTATCTTGTAACAGGGAATGCTGTGTATAAGAGAAACGACCTAGCTCACTTTGTCTTTTCCCTCTCCGCGGTCGAGTGGTTCGCGAGACGCTCTGTCTATTTTCTCACTCACACTCTTCCTAAATTGTATCTTTTCTCTCTAGCCGTAACGAATCTGTCGCGAGTGAAAGTTTACACTCAACACACCTATAGAAGTTTCACTTCTTCTCTATAAATAAGACTTACCGCCATCCAAGGTCTTGGTCGCATACGTGTACACAGCAGAGGCTGCTCCGGCATCGTTTATCGCAGTCACTCTTAGCTCGTACCAGCTGGCGGGAACGAGAGAACCGACCGCGTACGAAGATGGAATGGATCGCAGCTGTGGAGCTTGATAGTGCCCTTCCATGTAACTCCATTCGAGATTCATGTCTATGGACTGATGTAAAGGTATCCATACTTTAAGCACGCAATGGAACTCACACTCTAACATCTTTCATGCTAGATTCTGGAGTGGTCAAGCAATGTATATGATTGAGAGGTTTTGGAACGAAGTTCCTTATGGGACGATGCGGAGGGGTACCCTAACCGGGAAAAACGTCCGTAACGTAAGATTTTTATTAGTAATGCACACAGCGTACGACTTAACTTTGTAATAACGTACAAAAATAACATATTTTTTTATCATTAATTGACCACGATCTCAGAGCGTTCGTTTGCGCAATACACTAACTCTTATGCAAACAACAGTGAATGAAGTGTACCACAATAAGTTCGCACGTTACCAAATGACCAGTTTTATTTTTTTATATCTCGAATAGAACTTAAAATTAATATTTTTGTAATAGGGAACTTCGTTCCTATCCGGTGTCCCACGACACCAGACATCTTTTTTTTAATCTCACGATTCGATCAGAACAGAATGGAAGATAGATATTCTAATTTGAGCAATATATTTCTCTTTATTAGAAACGCAATTTTCGTTAACAGATTCGAAGTAATCTGTGAATCTATATGGCCACAGTCTGTGCTAATACAGATCAGTTTCTTCGCGTTAGTGTGAGTGATTTTGTAACTTCTCATCTTTAACTACAAAATAATTCTCTGTAATATTTATGTACGAAGGATTTGTTTTTTTCCTTCAAAAAGATCCCATACTATGGTGTATCCTTAGAACAGAAACGTTTAAAGTAAACATAACTAGAGGATGACCGAGCTTTGCTGGTTTTTTTTTTATAACGCCATCTTGTTGTGTCTTTAAAGCGGTTAGTTGCCCTCCATTAAGAAAAATAGTATTATTATTCGCCAGTAGATGTCAGGAAGAGTTGATTATTGAAAACACGAATAAAATAACATTTTCTGAAAATAAATCGTAGCTAGATCGATTTATCGCCCCCGAAATCCCCTGTGTACTAAATTTTATAAAAAACGTTGGAGCCGTTTCCGAGATTCAGATTATATATGTATATATACAAGAATTGCTCGTTTAAAGGTATAAGATACAAAATCACCAATTCATTTTCAGTTTCCAAGCAAATGGTATTTTTTTATCGACTATTACTAATGGTATTAAATTTAATATTATTTCAGTGGATATTTACTTTGACATATAACATATAGTAGGATCTTTGCCGGAGTGTTTCCATGCAACAAAGGCACGTACGTCATTTTCATTTAAAGGCGCATACGTACGCAATCTAATATATAAAATTCTCGTGTCACAATGTTCGTTCCCATACTCCTCCGAAGCCGCTTGACCGATTCTCATGAAATTTTTTATGCATATTCAGTAAGCCTGAGAATCGGCTACTATCTATTTTTCATACCCCTAAGTGATTAGGGTTGTCCACCCCTAACATATTTTTTTATTTGGACTTTTTTTTTGTTATAATGAGGTATTATGTGGTTAAATGAGGTTTTGTTATTTTTATTATATATTCCCTCATCGTTCACAGCACTACATACCTCTTTCACTCATTTACCACATCCTTATACACTTACAATAAGTTAGTTTTTTTTTCTACACTAGAAATTCCCTAGAAATCTTATATATGGCAAAACAATGTTTGCCGGGTCAGCTAGTATACTTATATTATTGCAACAATAATAACGATCACTTACCGCTTTATTCTCAGTCCTACGCCACGTGCTAGAGCCAAAAGGTCGGTATTCGACGTCCCATCTGGTGACGTCACAACCGCCGTCGTCCCATCCACTCAGCTGAATGTATATATGCGAAGCGTTACTCCAAAGCCAGTCGTTTGACAACGGAGATATAGGAGCTAATAGGGAATTAAAAACAGATCTGAAATGTCGAGTCTTTGTGATCACTTTTCTTGGCATATAGTTTTTGCAGGGTACGAGCGCGCGTGGTCTTTATTTGTAGTTGTAATATTGTAAACATTCATTTGGTTATTACATATGTAACCTCTTTAAGAGGCCTATAAAATCAAAATCAGCTAAACGCCTTAATGTCGTAAAATGGATTAACAATGGCGCTATCTTGTTTAGTTATTTGGACACGCTTTAGTGTTTTCATGTTATAACAAATGCAGCTAAATCTCTAACAAATTCAGTTAAAAAAATTTATTTTTACTCTGTACTAAGTACTAATAAACGAAGTTTTATCATTTAAAATTTAGATTATTAGTAATATTCTCATTCTTTATAAATCTGCTTTAAAATAAAGAATATCGTAGCTATCCGAACAGTTATTTCAGCTTCTCAAACCGGGAGTGTTGCTAACACTGGCAAGAGCAGTACTTCGATGGATCGGGAGGATCAGTAATGACGTGTTTAGGGCCGATTTTTGTAGTTTACCTTTGCCTTTGATTTTATAGGCCTCATATGATCTATGACATAAATCTTAAAAGAGGTTATAAATACCAATTATTCGAGACGATACCATGGTCTCGCTTTTACTATCGCACCGCCCGCCACCGAAGTAGGGTTCATCCATACTGCCTGGAGCCACTGCGGTCATCCACAGTGCGTTTCCAGAGATCTTTTTTGCCACGTACCACCCGGCTATGGAATGAGCTCCCCTCCACGGTGTTTCCCGAGCGCTATGACATGTCCTTCTTCAAACGAGGCTTGTGGAGAGTATTAAGCGGTAGGCAGCGGCTTGGCTCTGACCCTGGCATTACTGAAGTCCATGGACGACGGTAACCACTCACCATCAGGTGGGCCGTGTGCTCGTCTGGGTACATGGACAATAAAAAAAGAGGGTAGAATAATCATTAAGCTTAATTGAGAAATAAGCCCCATAACTGAGTGAAGGTAGTCGCGTAGTGTCTATGAGCACTGGTGCCACGTAACTTTATGTTGGCTTCGAGCCCACTAACCCAGCTACGCAATAGAGAAAATGACACTTGATCTAACAGTTTCTTTCAGAACTTTTAGCCAGTCAGTCGCCGGTTGCAATCTTAGTAGAGTGGTCTTGGCATCATTTCGGGTGGTGAAGCGCTTTACCAGACGTCACCATTCCTCGCATACCGCGCCCTTTCTAGTGCATTCGTTGACCAAACTGTTTAGAGCTGCCTTTATTTGATCCGTCTACTTTGAACTTACCTCCCCCTAAAGTGGTGACGTCGATGTGGGCTGGTGCAGAAGTGCCTATTGCATCAGTGGCCGTGACCCTGATACTGTACTTAGTTCCGCATTTCAAACCAGTTAAAGTATGCTGGTGAACGCCATTAATTCTGGTTTCCCTTGCTGCCGGCCAAGCTTCTTGCCAAGGACCTTCGACTTCACGCCAAGTCAAATTGTAACCTTCAATAATTATCATTATGTAATTGCAATCGATTAACGCAGTCTTGACGGGTCGCGATGTTTTTATATAAGTATAGTCCCGCATTTATATTATCCGACAGAGACACAAAATGTGTTTGTGTCATCATATTAATAAAATATTAATAAATTTTACTGATGTTTATACGTATCGTGAGTCTGCACGGGTAGGTACCACCACCTTGCCTATTTCTGCCGTGAAGCAGTAATGCGTTTCGGTTTGAAGGGTGGGGCAGCCGTTATAATTATACTGAGACCTTAGAACTTATATCTTAAGGTGGGTAGCGTATTTACGTTGTAGATGTCTATGGGCTACAATAACCACTTAACACCAGGTGGGCTGTAAGCTCGTCCATCCATCTGTGCAATTAAAAACAACAAAAAATTGTAGTATAAAAGTTTTATTTTTCGACTCTAAGGTCTTAAAAGAGAGACAAACAAAATTACACACTTATCGGTATATAGCTATGTAGCTAAAGGTATTACAAATCCGATTGAACCTTGTTGAAAAATAAACCGTATAAAAAATACACGGATTTATGATACTTACTGACTCCATAACTAGATTCGTTCTCGTGATCCTTCGTCTCGTCCCATTCTAGTACAATGTAATCCTTGTACGGGGTGGCCCGTAAAGCTGGAGGATCAGGTAGGGGTAGAACTTTTACTGTATACACAACCGAATCCGAGCCGTACAGGTTTTTGGCTAGACATGTGTAATTACCACTTAAAGCTTGGTCTATACCTGGAAGAAAGTCTGGCGTTACTAGCCTCTAAGCGTCATCATCATCATCATCATCATCAGCCTGTAGCAGTCCACTGCTGGACATAGGCCTCTCCAATTGCTCGTCACTAAGTATGATCCTCGGCTTCTCTCATCCTGCTCCTCCAGCCACTCTGCACATCCACATCTGATCATTATTCCACCAAGCCTGAGGGCGTCCTGCACTGCGTTTGCCAATTCGCGGTAAGAACCGGTTTAGTCCAACGGTTATCGGTTGTCCGGCTAATATGGCCAGCCCATTCAGCTTACTAATTCGCTGTGCTGTCTATAATTTTGGTACTCTGTTGGACCACCTCGTTCCGGATTCGATCTTTCAGAGAAACTCCAAACATAGCCTTAAGGACATAGACTTAAGGATTAACATCTCTTTAATTATGTATTGATACATAACAAGGATTTTGATTCTAAGTACTTGTAAGAGTTCAGTTCTAAAGCGTAGAAGAGAAATTTGAAATACGAAAAGGCGTTCGACTAAGTCGCCCATCGTCAGCAAAGCTCTCTTCAAACTGTGACAATTTCGGAATTAACATGAACGTATATAAATTAAGTCATCTCGGATTTGCCGATGATTAGATTCTATCCATTGAGGATAAACACGTGACAATGAATTAGAATAGAAACCGGGAGAGCGAGAATTACCTTGAGCACAGTAACAAAAGGAATAACTCAAAGGCAATACGGAAATATTATTTTAAATAATACTGGTGGTAGGACCTCTTGTGAGTCCGCGCGGGTAGGTACCACCGCCCTGCCTATTTCTGCCGTGAAGCAGTTAATGCGTTTCGGTTTGAAGGGTGGGGCAGCCGTTGTAACTATACTTGAGACCTTAGAACTTATACCTCAAGGTAGGTGGCGCATTTACGTCGTAAATGTCTATGGGCTCCAGTAACCACTTAACACCAGCTAGGCTGTGAGCTCGTCCACGCATCTAGCAATAAAAGAAAAAAAAACTGAAAGGTCAGCGGGAATATTTCATTACTATTTACTAGTTTTGAAGTTTATTCTATAAACATTACTCACTCCTCATCTGATTTCAAGCGGTTACCAGATGCCGTCACATTAAAAGGTACGTCCATATTGATAAGTACGATTATTGTTTATTTTTTCTTTGTATAAATGCAGTGAAATTAAATCGCACAACTGTCTTGTGGTAGACTAGGCCGGTACGATGGTATCTACCCAAGAAGGCTAACGTTAGGTCCTAGCACCAGTATGTTAATGCAGTTTTATTTTCACCCAAACTGCCACCACAGTCGTGAATACTGTGTCTCAATGTCCCGATTGACCTTTGACCCCGAAAAAAATAGTACCAAACTTACTTTTGATCAATAAACTGTCATCTCTATTCCTCGTGAACCTTGGATGGTGAGTGATGATGTTCTGGTTATGATACCAAACTTTCCTCGGCGGGGGCGATCCGACGCTTTTACACTCCAAAAGCAGGGAGTTTCTTACTGCCACTGTTATTTCTCCTCCTAGAGAAGCCACTCCTGCCACCACTGCAGAATGTAGGTAGAGTTAATTTACGGTAGGCAGCGGCTTAGCTACCGTAGGCAGTGCTTAGCTCTGCCCCTGGCATTGCTGACGTCCATAGGCCACAGTAACCACTCACCATCAGGTTAATCGTATGTTCGTCTGCCTACAAGGGCAATAAAAAAAGTTGTAAATATTATAGGTTTTTCTTTTTCGGTTATAACCTAACGGTAATCATAGAATCGATAACTTCACCTTCTAAATAATTCTGTAGTATTTTTAATCTTTGAGATTCGGTAATGCATCGCTGCATTGCCAGCTACAGAAGTTAAATACGGCTATTTATTGAAACACCTTCCGTGCTACCTGTTGATAGTATTGCGCCAGAAATATTTCCAAAGTTTCAGCATCGACAGTACAAAGTTTTAACTCAATAAGATTAACGGACAAACTAAGCAACTAAATTCTTCTTACAGTGCCACTCACTATCGAAGCTAGGAAAAATAGATATAAATAGAAATGTGTAAAACAAATCATTCTGGGTGGTCATAGATTTCCAAACATCGGAAATTTACTGGTAATTGGGTATACTGGGAGCCTGAGTGGGTAGGTAAGGCCATTGTGAATATATGAGCTTTTAAAGTAGGCGGTCGCGTCCGCGTTAGTACTTACGGGCTTTCGTAACTACTTAACACAGTTCGTGGAACTTGAGCTTCACATCTATCGAGTATCGAGCTTTATGTATTTGTGTGCTAATTTACAATTTCTTGAATTTTAAAATTATCATGTCAAAATCATTAATTTTTTAAATGGTTTTTGGTAATATTTACTTAACGCATATCGTTTTATGGATAATTTGGCGATTTAAGCTGCTCACATCGACAATATGTTGTTATCTACCGTTCACATTTACCTCTTTGTAATGGAGTACTTGTAACTCTTCTGGTCTCCGGACCCTCTCCTGCTGCAGTACTGGCCGTGACCCATACATCGTATTGCCGACCTTCAACGAGGCCTTTCAACTCTAAGGTTTGTGATTTCTCATAAGCTTCCGAGTTTGTTTGGGCATCGACTCGGATTTGTTGAGGTCCATCGTTACTTTATTAAAAAAAAAGATTTTTGGTGAAAGAACAGACCTGATCGGTAAGATAGGTATGAATGACAGATGAAGTATAGATTCTGGTTTAATTATTACTCAGGGTTTGGTAGTAATGTAAGCCTACACCACCACCTTATATAAACAGAGTAGCTATTTCGGCCGCGAAATAATTATGGATCTCTCACTCGCAATATGAGATCAAGGTTTCGAGTAGCCAAGACCAATCTTCATAACAATGTTTGGATTTAAGCCCCTTATCTCGCTTTCTCTTAAATCGGCCCCTCATTGCTGAGTATCGTGACTCCGTCAACCAGCTGTCTCCATCGATCCCGTTCTGTAGCTTGGTGGAATGCGTCGCTGACAGGTATTTTTAGTTCCTCCGCTATTTGTCCGACCATCGTTTGGAACCTCTACCCCTAGAACTTTTAAACCCCTTATAAGGTCTACATATTTAGATGATAGGCGATTGCATGCAGCAGAGATGCGAATGTTGCGATGGATGTGTGGAGTAACGAGAATGGAAAGAATACGGAATGAATATGTTAAAGGAAGTCTGAAAGTGGCACCTGTGACAGAGAAGCTGAGAAGTTGACGTCTGGGATGTATGGACATGTGATGAGACGAAATGAAAATGAGGTTGGTAAGAGAATGTTAACTATGAATGTGGTAGGATATAGAGGAAGAGGTAGACCTAAGAAGAAATGGATGGATTGCGTGAAAGGCGATATGGGTAAGAAGGGAGTGAGAAAAGAAATGGTATATGATAGAAGAGTATGGAAGGAGAAAACATGTTGCGCCGACCCCAGGTGACTGGGAGAAGGGCAGGATAATGATGAAATGAAAGTCTAAATATTTACCTGGCAGTAGCCTTACAGTAAACTGTATAGTACAGCAGCCGTCCATTAGGTTGTTTTGGCTTCTTCCAGCTGACGAGCAGAGTGGCGGATGATTGGGAGAGTAATTTAATTTCAGCTGGTGCATCAGGCACTAGAAGCATACACTCATGTTTATGGGTAACAAAAGACAGATGGACTAGAAAAATAGTATTCGCTGTTACAGTTAGGCGTACTAGACTTTCTCTATGTGTTTATTTTATAGTTATGGTATGGTGGTTAGGTGTACTATAGTTTTTCTATTCTATTAGATGTACTATTAGTTTTTCTATCTTTGCAGTATCAACCATAGAGAATTGCTGCAGAGTTTCGTATCGTACCATATATCCACTTCAAGATCTATTTTTAGGAATGTTTTTTAGAGGATCTCGGTCATTACTTCTTTATTACATGTCATGAGTACCTCAGATACTGCAAAATGTTCATTCATAATTTTACCATTCGGTTCTTTGACACGATCTCAAAACTCTACCAGAACCAAGTTTGGGCATCGTGGCTTCTAGTAAAACAAAGATGAGGTGGTCTATATTTGTAAGTATCTGCCTGCTATATGTGACCCTAGGAATACAATATTGAATTACTGCATCAAAACTAGGCTTATTTTGCAGATTATTAGTCCCTGTAGAACTATATCGATCGTTTTCGTTAAATAAACAATCACCTTAATCGATTTTAATTAACACATCCAATTAATACTTTCTGCAAAACCGTCTCTGGTTTAACAGTAAATTTTATTATTCAATTAATTTATTTATCAGATAACAATAATCCATCATTTCACATACACATTTAAATCAAAATTGAATTACAATAGGTATAAGGTACAGTTATAGGTTGAATTATAATAGGTATAATATAGAAAACAAAAAAAAACAGGTGTGGCACTCGGAGACTGCCGCGGTTAAGCTATTGCATAGCATTTTTTATCAACTTATGCAATTATAATTAGACAATAATAATTTAATATTAAAAAAAAAAAATCAGACCACGCTAACAAAACACAAACACACGCACATTAACAAAAGCATAAAATTAACTGTCCCATTCACACTCATAAGCTAGTTTTTATTTTCGTTACGGAATTTCTTGATTCGGTCGCCGCGCTCAAAGCCCGCGATAAAAGATATGCAATAGCTCTTAATAAAGAAAACAAAAAATAATAATAAACAAACAGGCCTTCTCAACTAAAATTATATTTATTATAATATTAGTTATATTTAAAAAAAGTCAAATATTATTATCGTTTTAAGAAGAGCCACAAAAAATACACCCAAAGCCTCCATCTAACCATGTTCGAGGGACCTTCGTCAATTCTTGGCTCGTAAATGAATCTAATTTATCCCATTTTAACAGTAATCCGTCGAAATGATTTTTCATTTTGAAAATGGAATTCTCATAAACCTGAGTCATTTAGAAACAGTTTTCTTTAAAATGTTTTACATTTGAGGAGACTAAAAGCCAGGGAAGATATTTCGCACTGAGTCCGGAAATTACTTGCTCGAATTCAAATCTATTGGGCCGTCACTCGTATGTAATTCAGTTATTACCTGTAATACATTCTCGCTTCAGACGGGAATGATTTAATATAAAGCCAAAAATCAACGCGTTACTTTTTAAAAGGAATTTGCCTTCCGATAGTTCAATTGCGGTAAGAAAAGAATGTAATATGTAAACATTTGCGGTAATTGTCATAAGAGTTTGGATCCATTAGGTATTTAGGAGCCAATTTATATGATTAGATTAGTTGGACTGCACTTTTCTTTTATTTCAATCGGTGCAGTAGTCATTGATACTTTAGGTCACAACTAGTACGTTCAGAACATTGTGTTTGGGATCGTCGATAGTAGGAACGTTAAATTGATTCATGCTGATTTGAACAATGACACTGTAGAAAATTATCTAGAATGCCGAATCGAAATTCGAACAATTTTTTATTTATTGCTTAGATGGATGGACGAGCTCACAGCCCACCTGATGTTAAGTGGTTGCTGGAGCCCATAGACATCTACAACGTAAATGCGCCACCCACCTCGAGATATAAGTTGTAAGATCTCAGTATAGTTACAACGGCTACCCCACCCTTTGAACCGAAACGCATTACTGCTTCACGGCGGAAATAAGCGGGGTGGTGGTACCTAACCGTGCGGACTCCCAAGAGGTCCTACCACCAGTGATTACGCAAATTATAATTTTGCGGGTTTGTTTTTTATTACACGATGTTATTCCTTCACCGTGGAAGTCAATCGTAATCATTGGTTGAGTACGTATTTCATTAGAAAAATTGGTACCCGCCTGCGGGATTCGAATACCGGTGCATCGCTCAACACGAATGCAGTGGACGTCTTATCCTTTAGGCCACGACGACTCTAAAACTTATATATACATAAACTATACATAAAATTTAAAGCTACATACGAGTATAATAAAGTCGGTTAGTAGCTCCTAAAGAACTCGATTGACAAATAGACGAGAAAATGGTACCAATCTGATTTGTTTTTTTTTCTTAAACAAAATTGTTGAATATTTTCAAAAATATGTATAGTTTGCTAAGACCAAAGCTCGTCCATAGGTTCTAAGCAAAAAAATGTAAAACTAAAACGGATATAAATTGACAAAAAAGTGGTATTCAACTGTTTTGTCTAAGTCTATTTATGTAGAGGTTTATCAGTATCTTTTCTATGATAAACAGTTTTTTATTAATTGGTACATATTTATACTGTATTATATTTTAATGGACCATAAAAGTAAGTTTAGCCCTGTAAAACTATAGCACAAACTGAGTTACACTGTTTAGAGAAACAACATTTAAGCTATTGCTTCACCAGTTCTTATGTTTCATAAGGTTTAATATTCAAAAATACCATTTATGTGTCATCTGTATAACTTATAACCTCTTTAAGATTTATGTCATAAATCATATAGAGGTTACATCTTATCACGGATTTTAGATTACATTACAAGTCAACGAAGGCTAACAGAATTTATATTCAACAATGTTATGTTATATAATAAACTAAAAATTCATTGCCCGTTTTGATTTTTACGTATTTATTGCCTGTTAGCATATTGTTTTTTTCGAGGACCACTGAATAAGTTTCCTAAGAAGCGATCTAGTCCAAAACTTCACAAACAAAGTCTATTCGTGTCGAATAATGGGTAACTCACCGTCTTGTAAGGTGGAGCAGATAATTGGGAATGAAAACGGGCCAAGTCCGTAGTTCGAGAATCCGGCCACTTTAATACTGTAGTTGGTGTATTTGAGCAAACCTTGGAGACGCAGTTCCGTCACTAGGGATGTGGAATTCAGCCAATGTCGTCCTGAAAAATTTCCTGACTGTATTTATAACTCATCAGATCTCTATCACTTCTGCTTACTAGAGAGTTTTAATAGGTTAATTAAAGGTTTTAATATCAACAATAGTTTCTTTTTGTACGTAGTGTATGACCCAATTGATGTTAATTAGTCAAAGTCGGTCGTGACATCAGGACTGCCGCTGCCTACTAGCATACGTATTAAGAAAAATGTATCTGAAATGTCATCACGGATGACTGCATGCAGGAGTACTTAATTGTTTGTATTGAGTATTTTATAAATATTATAAAGAGGAAAGATTTGTTTGTTTGTTTGTTTCGAATAGGCTGCGAAACTACTGGACCGATTTGAAAAATTCTTTTTCCATTAGAAGCCGACATTGTCCCTGATGAACATAGGCTACTTTTTAAAAATTTTTTTTTTTTTTTTTTGGTTTCATGTGTGTTTTAATGTTTCCGAAGCGAAGCGAGGGCGGGTCGCTAGTATTTTATAAATTACGGGGATGTTAGTGTTTTTTTATTATAGTAGATGCGCAGACGACATCTCGCCTCATTATTAGTGGTGTTTTTACCAGAGATCATAGCCGAATACGAAGAACAAAGCAATAGCTGTCGTCCATTGTACTCTAAGTCCTTTTGCAAACACGATCCGAAGAGAGTTGAAGGGAGGCCAAACTTCCGAATCCAACTTTCGATTAACCAAACAAAAACTTAAAATCGGAATTGATTTAACAATTGAAATTGAAAAGTTTCATTGGGATTCGATTTTGATGAATACGAACGGTTTCATTTCGGCTGACTTAGGGGAAATCTCGTATTTTTATTACGATCAAATCAAAATCAACTCGCAGTTCATCCAAATCCAAAACTACACTAAAGAATAATAGTATACTAGGTATGAGCGTTAGGATATTTAATAAACTACCAAAGAAATCAAGAGACTTTTTTTTTTTTTTTTTTTTCCACAGGAGAAAATCGCCGGATCCCCACCCGCACGGCAGGTGGGGTATGTGGGAGTCAAACCTCACTAAAAACTCCTGCCGCTCACAGCCGGGGCACAGCCACAGCAGGTGGGAACCCAGTCGGAGTCGGAGTCGGAGTTATAATCAAGAGACTTAGACGATTTTCATTTTAAGAAAAAACTAAAAGATAATCTTATTAGTGAAAATTATTATCACGTAAATGATTTTCTTAGGGACGACATTGAAAATAAATGGATTTTTTAATTATTATGGATGAATGAATAGTAAATTATATAATATAATAATATCTTGCACTGCACTAAAATTCGCATGTCAAATAATGACAAAGCATACACGCTGCTTTTAACTATGATTTCTTTCTTTCTTAGTTATAATGGTATACTTTCTGTTTATGTTATACTTTTCGGAATGAACGAATACTTCGCAGCAGAAACAGGCAGGATAGTAGTACCAGCACGTGCGGGCTTACACGATACTCTACCATCAGTAGACAGGGCTTTAAAACTGGCTACTGTTATTGCTTCCTCATCACCAGTACGGATTAGTATTATGCTTATCTATCTTCTGCATAATTATTACTATGGCCGTGAGCGTAACGCCATATCTCGTCAAATAGCACAAAAACAAACAATTTTAGTTAATTTGTATTTCGGCGGTAGGTCTTATTTGCCCCGAGCCCCAGCGCGTAGCACATTTGTGGTAGAGCTTGTTGCGAATTGACGAGTTGGTACCCTCGTTCAGGCCGTGAAGCCTGCCTTTCAATCCAGGATTACAAGGATGCCTCAAGGTACATTCACGTTCTGCTGTTTATGGACTCCAGTAATTGATGGGCCATGAGGTCTCTTGCTAGTGAAAAATCAGTGGAACCATCGATGTAGAAGATTTTAAAAGTAATTCTCTACGATTTCCCTTCCAGAGGATTTGATATGACCAAAGTCAGCTCAGCTTTTAATCAAAGGGGGTATCCCTTCAGCACCATAGCTCTAATCTGGTCTACCATAACCCGTTTGTCAATCTAAGGCCTAATAAGCTTTGGCGTTTGGGTCTAAGTTAACTTACCTTGAACGGCATATAGTACTATATACCCTATAAGAGCTCCGGCTTGCTTGTGAGGTGGGATGGGTTGCCAGCTGACCCTCAAAGCAGTAGATGTCACCCCTCCGCACTCCACTGATGTTGGACCGTCTTCTGGGGCTGATGGACACAAATTCATCTTAGGTTTCATTGCTCTTTGCTCGGTTTATGCAATGCCGGAATTAAAATCCCACAAGTATCAATTTGCAGCAGCAGAAACAGGCAGCAGAGGTGGTGTGGGTTCATGTATGCGCTATGCCATGTCCTTCTTCAAACGAGGCTTGCGGAGAGTACTTAATGGTAGGCAGCGGCTTGGCTCTGCCCCTGGCATTGCTGACGTTCATGAGCGACGGTGACCACTTACCATCAGGTGGGCCGTATGCTCGTCTGTCTACAAAGGCAATAAAAAAAATACTACCAGAAGGAGTTAAGGGGTGACGATGTTGTTGCCCATTCTCTAGTAAATCCTCTATCCACCTTCGACATTCATAAGAAAAAAAGTGAAAAATGATGGAGTGTCTTCTCAAAACATTTACATAATGATGCATTCTGAATTATTACTTTTCGAAGTCAATGGAATCTCTGCGTTATTGTACTTTAAAAGTCGTCAAATAAACAAGAGCTGCTCTGCTCTACACTTGAAGGGAAAGTTTCTTGTTTACAAAAATGTAACTTGTTCTTAGTGATTATCATTTTGGATTGTTTTATACCGGGATGAAGTTCTGACGGCAATTTCGCATTGCATTTGTGTGATTAAAAATAAAAATACTTTTTGTTTTTGTTTTTACTATCAATTTCAAATAACTGTAGCTCTACAATCAGTTCTGGATGCAGTTATTGATTCATAAAAACATAAATTTCGAACATCGTTGATTTTCAACCACCTCTGTTTCCCTGTGGTGTTGGGTGGGGTATTGACATAAATTGTTATATGAACTTATTTTATTTTATTTGGAAGACAAACAGTAAACTTAAATTATATAAAATCTAACCTTAGAACTAAACAGCATTTAAATGTCTCCTCATAACTTAACTGCCCAAATTACCCCAATCCACAATGCTTTCTGAATATCTGGATACAGGAGATGCTTGTTGGGCATCATGAGGACAAAAGTCACAAATGGGTAGCGATCATGATCCTCAACAATAATGAATGCCACTAATGAACGAGGAACTGAACTAAAAGCCCACTTTTTATTAGAGAAAACATAGAATAAACATGATTAAACAGAATAAATAACTAATGCAGGTGGAAAGAAGTTAGCGACTGTAACTTTAATTGGTGGTAGGACGTCTTGTGAGTCCGCGCGGGTAGGTACCACCAACCTGACTATTTCTGCTGTGAAGCAGGAATACGTTTCGGTTTGAAGGGTGGGGCAGACGTTGCACTATAAAAACTCAATCTCAGAACTCCTGTATCAAGGTTGTTGATATCTATGGGCGCGTAACCACTCAACAGTATTTTTGAGAAAGAGTCTTTTTAAAAATGCTCCCTTTATTGTCCCCCGTTACCGTTTTTACTAATAATAGAAAACTTATCTTCGTACTGGTTAAAGTGAAAGAAAATCCAAACGAGCTTTCTTGAAAGGAGAACTTTTGAAAATAATTACGGAAAGTCCAACAATGGATATTTAAAAAATTCGAGCCCGCATTAATTACACTTTCAAACTTGCATACTTTATATTTATGCTTATATTGTTTGGTGAGTTCGAGGTAGATATATCTATACTAATATTATAAAGAGGAAAGATTTGTTTGTTTGTTTGTTTCGAATAGGCTCCGAAATTACTGGACCGATTTGAAAAATTCTTTTTCCATTAGAAGCCGACATTGTCCCTGATGAACATAGGCTACTTTTTTTTAAAAAAAATATTTTTTTTTTTTTTGTTTCATGTGTGTTTTAATGTTTCCGAAGCGAAGCGAGGGCGGGTCGCTAGTATAGGTATAATGATGTTCACTCGTGCAGAGGATACGCGTACCATACTATTGAAGTGAAACTTCTTTAGGCGGGTTGAGAGTAAAATTTAAGTCGCGACAGATTCGGTTACGGCTAGAGAAAAGATACAATTTAGGACGAGCAAGAGAGAGAAAATAGACAGGGCGTCTCGCGAATAACTGGATCTTGGAGAGAGGGAGAAAGCGAACTATGTCGTTTCTCCTATACACATTCTGTTTACGGGCGTCGGCTACTAGATGGCTTGTTATTAGTTTCTCATTCCTCCTGTAGATGGCAGTAACATATTAACTATCTTAAATTTTATTTAAATCTTTATTTCTTTCTTTTTCTATATTATATAATTTAAATTAAATGTTGAAGAGGTCGTTTCTCTTACACACAGCATTCCCTATTACATGGGAATTTTTATTTGAGGATGACAAATGAAGAAAACAGCAATATTACACACCGCATAAGAAGTATCACTTCTTTCACTGCTCCAAGTTGCACGCGCCCCATCTTTATCATCAGTTAAATTAGGCAAAGGTCCGCGGGCCTGAATGTAAGCGGGGCTTTTTATCCAATACTTTGTATGGTTAAACAAGCTCATGACCTGGTTGTCAGTGGTAGCTAGAGCTCATAGACACTACAACGTAAATACCACCACCCTCTTGTTTGAATCCGTTCGCATCAGCGATATATACTTTTTTTATTAGAGACTATTACTCTAATTATTCACACCCTCCAACTCTTTTAATAAGTAATGGCAGGGTCAGTTGTAAGCCCGCAAGTAGTTTTTTACTGGTGGTAGGACCTCTTGTGAGTCAGCGCGGGGAGGGACCATCGCCCTGCCTATTTCTGCCGTGAAGCAGTAATGCGTTTCGTTTTGAACTATACTTGAGACCTTAGAACTTATATCTCAAGGTGGGTAGCGCATTTATGTTGTAGATGTCTATGAGCTCCAGTAACCACTTAACACCAGGCGGGCTGTGAGCTCGTCCACCCATCTAAGCAATAAAAAAAACTAGTGTAATTCCGCTTATTTCTACAGAGAAGCAGCCATTCGTTCAGTTTTAAGGCTGGGGCAGCCCTAATATAATCAGAACTGTGGCTTCGTCTTCTCAAAGTGGAAGATGTCTATTAAAAAAAAAAAAATTTACAACTATTATATTTCTCTTCATCCTGATGGCTGTTTTACAATACCAATGTCTATGAGCATCAGTAACCACGAAACATCAAGCAAACCGTTAGCTCGTCTGTTTGTCTGCCTACATAATGGAATAAATACTGGTGGTAGGACCTCTTGGGAGTCCACACGGGTAGGTACCACCACCCCGTCTATTTCCGCCGTGAAGCAGTAATGCGTTTCGGTTCGAAGGGTGGGGTAGCCGTTGTAACTATACTGAGACCTTAGAACTTATATCTCGAGGTGGGTGGCGCATTTACGTTGTGGCTGTCTATGGGCTCCAGTAACTACTTAACACATCAAGTGGGCTGTGAGCTCGTCCACCCATGTAAGCAATAAAAAAATATAAAAAAATCGTCATTTAACTGTGATGTATAATTCTGAGAACAGTTAAAATAAGAAAATCCTTTGCTCGCCCGAATATTAATGGGTTTTAACTTGTTATGGCTACAAAGTTAAATATTCTGAATCATTAAAAACGATTTTTGACTAATGACATTTACGATTCAAATTTGATGGTTTATTATTGAATTGGTTATTCGAAATATGTAATCGGAGTCAGAGCACTCATAATTCACAAGCGGCTCGCACCGGCTCCGCTCAGGTCTTTAACAAAAATTTCAACGATATTTGACGTTGTTTTATTTTTTTAAATAAAAGAACACTTATTGCGGCTTAACTATAATAGTTAGACATAGGCTGTCGCGACACTTTTTGTAAATAATAATGTGTTCTACAAAGTCGTAGTACATTATTTTATTCTATCATCAATAGTTTCCGCAGGACACGCGATGTAAAGAATATTTTAGATAATTTTTTTACACATTGTGTTACATTATTGGAGTTTTATTAAGGATCGCTAATTTTTTTAAAAAAAAATTATAGCCTATATCACTCGGGAATAATGTAACTTCCAAACAGTTAAAGAATTTTTCAAATCGGTTCAGTAGTTTCGGAGCTTATTCAATACAAACAAACAAACAAACAAATCTTTCCTCTTTATAATATTAGTATAGAATGAGTAAATTCGGGAATAATTGATTGTGGTACTTCTATTTATTAACCCTTTGACTGCTACTTAGGGTACCGATAGCCTACGTGACAGTCAAAGGGATAAATACCAATGGCCTTAAATTCGAAACGCAGTCATCAGCAACACCTTTAGATTCCCTTGTCACTTCAATTACCTTGTTGAAAAAACCCACAAAAACTGGATTAATTCCGATTTTTTTTTCGAAATTGATATCGCAACTGATTCTAACTTAATACTCCTTAATAGCTACCACACAAAAGGGTACGCAACTAACTTAACTTCCAGTTGCTATTTTTAGTACTGGTGTTAAGGTGCTTTTGAGGTTGTGGCGACTCACTTACTCGCCACTACTTGGGCAACCGCCTTACAATTCGACAAAATCGCTGTCGCTTATGATTTCAGGCAATCATATATTATGGTATACATATACACTTCGGAATCTGAAGAAACTGCGGGCAGGCAGTACACATCGACATTCGCTGTGCTACCTATCGTTCGTGTCAGTGCTTTACTACTCCTGTATGTTATTTCTTTATCGTACCACTCTTGTTATAGTTTGTTTGTGTACATACTTATCTACAATAAACTATTTAAAGCAGTACATATTCACACTCTCTGTGTGAACCATCCTTCGTGTCAGCGCTTACCTAATACAGTTAGAAGCAGAACTACTACAACTGCATCTACAAGGTCATCGTACGAAGGTTTAAATTTTGAACGCCTAGAAATATATTTCAAGAGAAAAAGTCGGTTTGAGACTTGGCAATAGTCCTCGGCGATAGGCAGTTATCTATATCTGGCTTAACTGACGTCATAGTCGTGACATTTATCACGCACCATCAGTTTGCAATCAGCTTGTCCTTGAGGGCAAAAGGTAAATGGGCAGTAAGGGTTTTGTGCTAAAAGAATAAAAGGTAAATCAACTTTGAAAATACGCACCTCCTTCTCTTGTATCTTGAAATAAGGGCACCGAAAAAGGGCCAGTGCCTGCGTTGTTGTAGGCCGCTATTGAGACCGCATACCTGATAATTTGAGGAATAGTCTGTATATAAAGAGGTTATATAATGGTATTTACGCAACTATTCATCTAGTCTTATAATATTTCTCTTCGAATGAGGTTGTAAAACGTCTTTATAAACAGACTGCGCACCTAGAGCGTAAGAAAGTTCAGAGGCAGGTACTGCTAAAGTTTCAAAGCAACACTAAGCACTCACCCAATATTTGGGCCATACCCAAATATTTGGGACATACTTAAATATTGGGTGAGTGCTTACAGGTCAATATCATGATCATCCCTCCTCCCTGAGTAGCATTCCACATGTCTCCATGATCATCATGGGCAATAAAAATCTTCAAGCAAGAATACGTTCCAGTATTTACTAAGTGGCGACTGCAAGATGCTGCTACTCTATCCTTAATGGTGGGTGGTTAGAGCCCTTGATATTACCATGATACTTACTTCCGAGACGGTGGCTATAGGCTGTTTTAGTTAGATGGATTGTGTTAGATTTGTTTTGTTACTCATAAAGTAGCGAAGTACACTTAATGTAACACATTACGTACCCATTATTGTGCATCTGTTATCAACTAGTTAAGGCATTCAATGGCCACAGTAATGGATGAGATATAAGTGATGAGATATAACGTTGAATTTTCTATTACATTGTAATAGCGATATCCTACAACTAGAAGGCCTTTTTACTTACCGTAATAAGAAATAAGGTCGAATTTCCTATTACATTAAAATAGTGGTTACTCTATCCATCAACTAGAACGCTCTTTTACGTTGCTTTATCAAACCCATAACTGTTTTTTCATTGCCAATTCTAGCAGTCGAGAGGAGAATCGTTTGAGGGAAGCAAGATGACGTCACTAACACTTAAAATAAAATGCATATGTAATAATCACCTCACGCCTTTTAGCAGACCAGATAGGATAGTTTCTTGCTTTGCATACAAAGACGCAGTTTTGATTGTCTTGTCACTTTTTTCCTCGTTCTCTACAAAATCATTGCGAAGTTTAGTCTAACATTAGCTAAATTTGAATGCAATAATTCAAAATGATTAAAATTTAGAAGCTATGGCTTTCAATCCAATTGCTGATGTCAGATTTATAACATCGGGCTAAGCAGATACTGGTGAGTTACGTCAAGTTTTTACTATGACATGACACATTATTATGAACGCATTAGATATGTCAAGTTGTGACAAATACTTCAACCCTTTTCAGATAGGATACACTAGACCATTGGTCAGAAAGACCCCTACAAATCTTAGCAAAAACTGTCGTAATGGGGATAGTTTATACAATCTATCTAGTCTCGCTAAAACTCGAGAACGGCTGGACCGATTTGGCTAATTTTGGTCTAGAGTTATTTGAGAAAGTTCAGAGAAGGTTTAAAAGGCAGATAAATATGAAAATGCTCGGAATAAAAAAAAAAAACCATTTTGTTTTTCCTTTCATGTGTCCCTATCGGACAGATTCCTTTTGTTTGTTTTAAGTTTACTTTATGCAAAAGTTTAGGTCTTTTATTTATCGATTGAGGCACTACAAAGTATGCTGGTTCAGTTAGTCTAAGCAATAAAAAAAACATACGTATGGTGCTCAAATTTTTTGCTCCTATGCGTAGAAGTTTCTTTATGTGACGAGGAGGCAACCCTATAGTAAGCTATAATAAGTTAAAATTTATTTCAATATAATTGTTTATGGAAAAAGAAGAAATACCCTCGTTTCGATGTTGAATTTTCTCCGTCTCATATTTGGTCTCAAAATCTTAATTCGAAAAGTGATCTTGAAAGTAAAAGTCAAATTAACTGAGGTCAATCACCTTTGAGTCCACTGATTTGTGGAACGGCTCTCAATCGATATCCTAAAACTTGTCCGTTGTGAGAATCAGCTGGTGGTGGGAGCCATCTGACCATCAACTCCCCTGGTGAATCAGTCTGTTCTAACTGAACTCCTAGTGGTGGCGAGGATGGTGCTAAAGGAAAAACAAGGTTATGAGGTGGATCCTAAATACTAGGTATTTACACAACTGTCGCTTATTTCGCGTGCCAAAGATTAGTCAAACCAATCCAGAAAGTTTAAAGTCGTCGTGGCCAAACGGATAAGTAACGGTGCATTCGTATCTAGCGATGCACCGGTATTCGACTCCCGCAGGCGGGTACTAATTTTTCTAATGAAATACGTACTTATCAGATGTTCACGTTTGACTTCCACGGTGAAGGAATAACATCGTGTAATAAAAATCAAACCCGCAAAATTATAATTTGCGTAATTAATGCCGTGAAGCAGTAGGTAATGCGTTTCGGTTTGAAGGGTGGGGCAGCCGTTGTAACTATACTGAGACCTTAGAGCTCATATCGGGTGGCGGCATTTACGTTGTAGATATCTATGGACTCCGGCAACCACTTAACACCAGGTGGGCTGTGAGATCTTCCATCCATCTATGCAATAAATAAAAAAAATATTACAATATTTCTGAATGCACCATAAAAAGAATAATATACCATTATTGAACTTATCAGATGTTCACGTTTGAATTCCACGGTGAAGGAATAACATCGTGTAATAAAAATCAAACCCGCAAAATTATAATTTGCGTAATTAATGCCGTGAAGCAGTAGGTAATGCGTTTCGGTTTGAAGGGTGGGGCAGCCGTTGTAACTGTACTGAGACCTTGGAACTCATATAGGGTGGCGGCATTTACGTTGTAGATATCTATGGACTCCGGCAACCACTTAACACCAGGTGGGCTGTGAGATCTTCCATCCATCTATGCAATAAATAAATAAAATATTACAATATTTCTGAATGCACCATAAAAAGAATAATATACCATTATTAAATATAAATTTTATGTGGTAAAGTAGTTGACTCTTTCAGTTACCCAAATAACGATTATTTTACATGTTCATGTCCCGCATTTATATGTACTGTGTGTTATAATATTTAACTTTAGTTAACATTGCTTTATAAAATCAATAATTTGACCAATATGCTTTAAAGTATCTTCTACAATCACACATTTTAATATAAACTATGATTTTATTTCAACCAATTTCTACTTGCCTTCTTCCGTGGTAGTAAATCGTATTGGAAGTGAATAGTGACTGAGATCCGCCTGATTTCCTCCAGCAACACGAGCGCTGTAGCCGGTAGCCGGTGTGAGGTCTACAACCTCAATCGCGTGCCGGATTTCATCTAACCTAGGAGATTTTATTTAGAGCTCAACAGACCGATTCTGCGGCTGATCCATCATAAAAAGTAAATGATAATAGATTCAAAAGTCATCCTTCTTTTTATTAAAATATCTGGTTAATAGGATCTTACATAATAATATTTTTAGCATCGATCGGAATGTGAGGAAATACAGTTATGGTTTCCTCAAGATACTTCTAGTAGCCTTTATTGTCAGTCCATAGTTTCGGTACTTCTTTATTTAGTCCTCTCCCCAAATTCTATATTGAAAACTTATAATGGACTGTGAATCTACACGATTTGTGCGGTACCGCTAAATCAAAGCAATCTTTTTTATGTTTGAGAGGTTACTGGTGGCCCAGAGGCCTTTCCAGTTTTACCAGGGCAGGCGGGTGAGCAAGGGCTCAGCCAGGAAGGGTGGGATTTGCTAACATCTACCCGAGCGCCTCCAAAGGAGACAGTAAATTCGGTGTGAATTAATATATCTGCTTATAGAATGCAATAGAGACTTGATTAGGATGAGGAGACATAATGATGATGTCTTTGCGTTCAAACAATAATTAGGAATAACATCAATGAAACGGTTGTTGTTTGAACAATTGCTTCGTTAAACCATCACAATTAAGTTGAAACTTCTTCAAATTACCTGGTAACATTAATAACTCTTGCAGTACCCCAAGATAATCTCTGCGTGTTACCGATTTGTAAACTGTAAAACTGAGCTAAAGATCTTGCGCTGTCCCTCCAAGACAGCTTTACGGATCTACTCTTTACAAAGTCTACGGATAAATCCGTCGGTGGAGCTGGAGGTTCTAGAATGGAGACGTTTTGATTAATTTATTTAATAAGTGCAGCCTTCTTATAAACTGTTCGAGATCGTACTCGTGTTAGTGATGACTATGCAAATTTGTAATAATGCGATTGGTCGTCCACATTGTTCCCCTTACCCCCCAATCCTCGATTCGTGTAACACACCATTTCAATCATGTAGAAAAGTTTGAATAACAAAACACCTAACATTATAACTGTAGAAAAAATACGCCACAGACAAAACAGTTTTTTATTTCTCGAAAACCAAAATTCACCAAGCCTCTCAACCAACAAATAAAATCGTAAGCCGCACCAGAAACTAACAGTTAAATCAAAACATTTGTGAATAATGAGTAGCAGCTTAAGAAGGTTTATGGAACAGCTGCGGATCGCTGCAAGCTAACATGAAATATGTATCCATTCAGTGGACTACACAATGCATCGAAGATTTGCTGATGGTAGGACCTCTTGGAAGTCCGCGCGGGTAGGTACCATCACCCTGCTTATTTCTGTCGTGAAGCAGTAATGCGTTTCGGTTTGAAGGGTGGGGCAGCCGTTGTAACTATACTCCTTAGAACTTATATCTCAAGGTGGGTGGCGCATTTACGTCGTAAATGTCTATGGGCTCCAGTAACCACTTAACTTCAAGTGGGCTGTGGGATCGTTCACCAATCTAAGCAATAAAAAAAAGTCAAATCGTCAGCACAGTTACTTCGCTTGATACAAGTACCTACACTTTGTTTGTTCTCGTTTCCATAAAGCACATCAAATGCCAGTTTCACAAAACAAAACATCAGTTATGCTCAAACAGACTTACCTAAGATAGTTAGGTGAACGCTAAACACGTCGGCTCCATACGGATTCCCAGCTCTGCACTGATATAAGGCATCATCTGTCGTCTCAGTTTGTATCAACTCAAGTACGCTAGTTACTCCATCATCTGTCTTCACTTCAGATATTCTAACCCTGTTTAATGGAAACCTTAAATAATTTGTTTTTTTTTTGGAAGCTAAATAGCAACAAGCTTTCTTGTGGGGATAATGCTGAGAATAGGGGGACTAAATAATTAAGTACTTAATATTTAATAGTCAAATCGGTAGCGTCTTTAGCTATGTTTGCGGAATCTTCTTTTATTTTGAAGACCTGTATCTATATTCTAGATAGATATTCTTAAGCTAGAAATAGAAAACGAATAAGCTTTACGCAACTGTATTATTGGTATATTGTTTAACTTAAGCATTTGGTACACAAAAGTACTTAAATTGTTTTAAGCTTGAACTTCATCATCATCGACGGGGTGAAGGTGGGAAGCGACTTCATCGTCGTATCATTTATGATATTTAGGAACCGATTGATGTACACACATTCATTACAAATCTTATACCTTTAAACGAGCAATTCTTGTAGATATATAATCTGAATCTCGGAAACGGTTCCAACGATTTTCATAAAATTTAGTATACAGGGGATTTCGGGGGCGATAAATCGATCTAGCTACGATTTATATTCAGAAAATGTTGTTTTATTCGTGTTTTCAATAATCAACTTTATCGATTCCCGATATCTATTGGCGAATAATAATTCTATTTTTCTTAATTGAGGGCAACTAACCGCTTTAAAGACAAGATGGCGTTATAAAAAAAAAACCGAGTAAAGCTCGTTCATCATCTAGTAAAGATAAATATATTTCCCTTAGAGTTCCAAACTGTGTAGCGAAGTTTCGATACAAACCTTTGAGTGAGTGGATTGATTGGCTTCCCGTTTCTGGTCCAAGTGATTCTAATAGGATCGTCACCTTTTGCTAAACATTCTATTGAAACTTGCTGACCAAGCTTCGCCGTCAAATTCCTTGAGGCCGCCTCAAAAGTTACCGGTTCTGTAAACGTATTACAATCAGTATACAGGGATATGGGATTTTCACAGAAGTAATCTCATAATCAGTCTTAATATTGGCAATGTTTTCAGCTATTTTTAACCAATTTTTGCAATGTTTTGCAATAATTCTCTTTATGCCCCTACTTACATACCTGCCCCTTTTCCAGCCATCTGTAGCTAAGATGATTCCAAATAATAAATAATAATTGCGGATAATAACATGTACTTTTAGGTTAGGAATATTGTGTTCTTTTTTTTATAATAAATAAATGGGTATTAAATAAAAAAAAAATCATAAATAACAAAGGACTTAATCATAAATGATTGTTGTACGTATAAAACCATTACCCAAGCCTTACACCAATTAACCTAGTCCGAAAAAGATTTGAGTTTAAATCCCTTCTATAATCTAATTTCCTTTGGACGATGGTCTTGTGAAATACTATCAAATATGGTTCATAAAAACCTTTTGGGACCCGAGATATTTTATTCGGGTTTCAAATATTTAGTTAAAAAGCTACAAGATACTTTACTTAATTAACCAATCTAATTAGTAAACACATTGGCGAAATTCAAGCTTTTAAAAGTAATTTGATCACGAACCCTTGTCTAGGCTAAAGGATACCGAGATAAAGTATTTAATTACCTCGTAAATCTTACTTGAAGTAATCTTAAACTGTTACATTGATCTATCTAGTCTACTGTGAAATGAAACCCTAGAGAACTGAACCCATAGATAGATGTATTCTTTGTAGGATATCAGTCGAATTTTAGAATAGATATTTGCTTTAGTTGAATTGGTCATTGGTCATCATCGCAATCCACCTAATTCAGTAACAATGTTACATAAATTACTCGATTACATATAATTTTAATCTTTGTCCTTTGCACACAAAGTTCATTTTGGTGCAGAACGTTTACTACATTTTTTTATTAAAACCCCTGTAAACTTTTATTTGAGAGCAGATTTTAACTTTTTTATTATCATTGTATACAATGCCTACGAGCTTAACGAGATAGTGGTCACTTCTAATGTAATATGTAAAATTTTCAATTTTTTATTTTTTTATTTGGCACACAATGCACATTACAACCAAAAAATATACATAATAAATAACAACAAGTAAAAAAAAATCTGGCTTAAAACATAAGCAATGTGCGCACGACCAAACAATACAAATGTGCTGAGTGTGTACACAAAGTACCTTGCAAATATTAGACAAAACGACATGATAACGAAAACCAACCTAACTTATAACATAAGGAAATAATTTTACTCACTATTGACAGATATCCAAATGGTTTTGCTAAGTGGCTCCCCAACACCATTCTCGAGATGACAATTATACAAACCAGCGTCAGAGAGAGCCACCGAATCAAAGATCAAAGATCCGTTTGACAAGCTTAATACACCACCGCCGGCTATTTCCAAGACTGGTCTCCAAGTTTCGGATACAACTGAAAATTTAATCAGGTGTCGTTATATCTATGATTTGATTGTGAGGATTTCCTGTTGATTATTGAATGATATCACTACTGGTTTTAAGTGATTGTCAGGCATATGAGGTCAATGTCTTGATATTAATCGTATTGTAACATGTATCATGGATGTCTTACCTTTTAAAACTGGTGCGAAAAATTACTTCAATGCAGGTATAGATGCTATAAAAAGCTTAAAATATGTACGCCCTACTATTTTAAGTACCATATAAGATTTTGAGAGTAATTAAGGAACAAGAAGAATTCGGAAGAGAGAAAGTCTTCGAAGAGAATATACTGCTGTTAAAGATTAATGAAAGGAACGTATTAACTGTTAATTTAATGATAATGAAACCCGATCAGGCTCCAATTCGACTTTCGCCAATTTTATTTTTCGAATAACATCAATGTAACAACTTGCGCGCGATCTAACCAGCATTGATAGTTTTGAAATGATTTTAGTACTTTTTCTAAGAATTTTTAAACAAAATGCCTGTGCTGTGACGGTGTCACTTACAATAGTTTTGTAACTTACTTGTGGCTGGTACTTACTGCATTTAAAGTAACAGTAGTATTTAAAGATGCAGTAATCCACATGAATGAAGATATGTGTGCAAAGCTATATGACGTAAATACATAAAAACAAAAATTTGTGCGGAAAGAAATTCTGGTTATTGCGAAATTTCTTCTATCCGGTGATATAGACTGGTATTAATTACCCTGACAGGAATACAATTTTCAAATTGTATCTATCTATACATATAAATAAAATTAGAGTCTGTTTGTAGTATTAAAATAATCGCTTTTTACTACATGCATATGAATATATAAGTATGGTACGAATATATGCGGTACATACACCAAAATAACATTTTTTACAATTTTTGTCTGTCTCTCTGTCTGTCTGTTTGTTCCAGCTAATCTCTGGAACGGCTGGACCAATTTTGATGTGACTTTCACTAATAGGTAGCTGATGATATAAGGAGTAACTTAGCCTTCGCCTATCAATAATAAAATGTAATGTTTCCGAAGCGAAGCGAGGACGGGTTGCTAGTATTAAATATAATTAATTAGAAAACAGGATACGAATGTTTCTGATTCCCAAGACATATATACGGTTGAAGACCATATGAGTTTGGAAAAGAGCATTATGGAATTCCAATGACATTCCATCACGTCATGGATTATCGTTGGGCAGACTTGTAGAGATTGGAATCTTACTGTCTTTTTTGAGCCAATGCGTTTGAGGCTCAGGGTATCCGTTGGCGCTACAGCATACGTGACCGTTTCTACCGAGCAATAGCGAAGTGTTCTGCGGCTCTTCATTCCACTTCGGTGCGACTGCAAGGAAATTCAAATTAGGCATTGTGCATTTTGAGCATGAGACTAGTGCAGCTATGCTTCGTTTTGACTTTATCAAAAAAAAAAATTAATAAAAAAGGCTTTTATTTCGTACAAGTGGCATAAAAAAGTGACATAAAAACAAAAATTAATGCAATTATTAACTAATAAATAATATATTTGTTGAATAATATTAGGTATTATTTCCCACTTGCAAAAAACCCTCCTCGGGTAAAGGCCTCCTCCAAGGATAGCCAATCTTCTCTGGATTGCGCAATTTTAACCCAGTTTGTAGTTTCTACTTTCTTTGTATCGTCTTTCCATCTAGTATATGGTCTTCCCCTCTTTCTTTTTCCTAGTGGACCGGACCATATTGTTACCTTTTTGTCCATCTCTGCTCCTGAAGGCGTGCATCATGTCCAGCCCATTGCCATTTTAAAGTTAAGGCTTGAACTAGTACATCAGTTACTTTGCTAATTTTTCTGATTTTTGAGTGACGGATTTTCTGTATTTTCTTTAAATTTAGCATACTACGCTCCATTCCTCTTTGACATGTGACTATTTTGTTTTTACAAAATAGACCTTATGAAATACACCTAGGTATTTGTTATTCACTCTCACGCTGTTACATTGGATTGTTATGTAAATAGATGATGTGTTAGCATTATTATTATACGGGTCGTCTTATGTCAGTCTCGATGTATTTAACACAATGTCACCTGTCTTGCGTACTAATTATCAGTGCGCCAATTTACTTATGTTGTGAGTTTATAAGAAGACTTATTAACTTTTATTATTCCAACTTAGTCTATCAACTTTATGGCTGATGGTACTTTATCAGGCACCTTGCCTTAAGTGCTAATATCTGTACAAACTTGCAACTTAATTGGGCCAAGGACGCTGAAGACACAACGCCAATGAAAATTAACGGCAACATCAAAGGTTACACACAACCCGGTCAAATTTGGAACAAGACATTGATATGAATTTTCAATAGGTTATAGAAGATTTGATGTGGTTTAGCGGTATTTGACTTGTCTCACAGATATTCGTGTTGATTCGATATGAGGTCATGGAGTAGTAAGCGATAAGATTAGATAAGAACTTCATTGTACTACTATCATGCACCGGTGTTCAAATCCCGCAGGCGGGTACCAATTTTTCTAATGAAATACGTACTCAATAAATGTTCACGATTGGTTTCCACGGTGAAGGAATAGCATCAAGTAAAAAAAATCAAACCCGCAAAATTATAATTTGCGTAAACACTGGTGGTAGGACCTCTTGGGAGTCCGCACGGGTAGGTACCACCACCCCGCCTAATTCCGCCGTGAAGCAGTAATGCGTTTCGGTTCGAAGGGTGGGGTAGCCGTTGTAGCTATACTGAGACTTTAGAACTTATATCTCGAGGTGGGTGGCGCGTTTACGCTGTAGATGTCTATGGGCTCCAGTAACCACTTAACACCAGGTGAGCTGTGAGCTCGTCCACCCATCTAAGCAATTAAAAAAAAAAACACTGCGACTAAGTCAGTGTTCAAATTTCTCGGGTAGATACCAATTATTTTACTAGTTTTTGCACATATATGCACATATGTATTTTTTTTATTGCATAATTGTCACATAATCTTTGGACGGCTTTCACCGCTTCAAACATGTCCGAGTAACTTGAAAATTTGTACACGCATCATCGAGCGATGACAGTACAATAAATTATATAATAACTTCGCTCTAATATCCTGGCTAGTATCAACAGGATAAGAAAAGATAAAATCAATTGTTGGTTTGGTTTGGTTTGTTAATTAAGCGCTTTTTTGATATATTATTTGTATATATGTTGGAGTATTTCCACTTTCGGGTAGCGACATGGTAAGCGGGTGGTCTTCGTAAGTCAATAAAACCAGAAATGAACTCAGAGCGTATATTACGCAGGAGTGCTCCGCCCGACACGGCGACTCGCTCGCTTCTAAGCTCAAGAGTTACCTATGCTGATAGCCTTGAGAGGCTATTTCAGCTTCACCCTAACGTTAGTAGATGAGCTCGCGGGGCTCAACCGGAGAGTTGCTAACACTGACCCTAGCAAGAGCAGTGCTTCGCAGAATCTACCACCGGATCGGAAACGCGACCCACTGAGAAGATCCGGCGAGAAACTCAGTGGGCTGAGCTCAAGAGACAACAACGGAGCGTTTTTATAGCAAGGTATCGTGGTGGGACGATGTTGTTTACGATTCTTATCTTGCACGTGTTGTTTTCGATGAATGCTTGCACCTGTTGTTTGTCGTCCCATCTTTATTAGTTATGAACTAATGGTTTATGAAAACACGCGCCGACTTATATACTCTGAGGAAATATATATATATCAAGAACGATTTCTGTGATGAAGGAACAACGCGGAATTATAATAAACTAGCTGGCCCGCGAAACGTTGTTTTACCATATAAATTATTTATAGGAAAGATGGATAACCTTTATGGTAGGCAGCGGCTTGGCTCAGCCCCTGGCATTACTGACGTCCATGAGCGACGGTGACCACTTACCATCAGGTGGGCCGTATGCTCGTCTGCCTACACAGGAAATAAAAAAAAAACCTAGATACCGACGGCAGCGTCACCTGCCGAGCTGATTTGTGAATCTAAACCATCCAGGGTGCCACTCAAACGCATACAAAAAAAATCATCTAAATTGGTCCAGCCGTTTAGGAGGGTTTCAGTGACAAACACACGCACAGAAGAAATATTAAGATTAGAAAGACAAAAAAGCTGTATTACGCGTTGCTTGTTTAGATGATAAGTTATAGTAATACAAATATAGACAGAAATATAGGAATATACATTCTTTTTAATTAATACATTTTAATTAAAAAAAAGTTTTTAGATCTGTTTATATATGTTTTACGTAAGAGTTTTTTTCATTTTTTTATTGCTTTAATGGTTGGACGAGCTCACAGCCCACCTGGTGTTAAGTGGTTACTGGAGCCCATAGACATCTACAACGTAAATGCGCCACCCACCTCGAGATATAAGTTCTAAGGTCTCAGTATAGTTACAACGGCTGCCCCACCCTTCGAACCGAAACGCATTACTGCTTCACGGCGGAAATAGGCGGGGTGGTGGTACCTACCCGTGCGGACTCCCAAGAGCTCCTGCCACCAGTGATTACGCAAATTATAATTTTGCGGGTTTGATTTTTATTACACGATGTTATTCCTTCAACGTGGAAGTAAATCGTGAACATTAAAATTTGCTGAGTACGTATTTCATTAGAAAAATTGGTACCCGCCTGCGGGATTCGAACACCGGTGCATCGCTACATACGAATGCACCGGACGTCTTATCCTTTAGGCCGCGACGACTTTTAAAAGAGTATTTTGTTTTTCCGAAATGCTACATTACAATTTAGTATTTCATCAAGAAAACACGATCAAAGTTGTGCCGAATAGCAAATGACCTAAAATTGGAACGTCAAGCTTAAAAGCTTTTCGGTGAACTTTAAAGTAAATTGTCAGGGCGAGCTTCATTAAACTGAAAACGGGAAATGATTGAAAAGCTCATTGAGAATAATGAAATCCCTCGTGTTTATTATTTCAAATTTACTAGCGTAGATGGTTAGGTGGTGGTAGATGGTGATGCTAAGCAGAAAACGAAACTGGTACAAGTCGTCGTGGCCTAAAGGATAAGACGTCCGGTGCATTCGTATGTAGCGATGCACCGGTGTCCGAATCCCGAAGGCGGGTACCGATTTTTCTAATGAAATACGTACTTAACAAATGTTAACGATTGACTTCCACGGTGAAGGAATAACATCGTGTATTATAAATCAAACCCGCAAAATTATTATTTGCGTAATCACTGGTGGTAGGACCTCTTGTGAGTCCGCACGGGTAGGTACCACCACCCCGCCTATTTCTGTCGTGAAGCAGTAATGCGTTTCGGCTTGAAGGGCGGGGCAGCCGTTGTAACTATACTTGAGACCTTAAAACTTATATCTCAAGGTGGGTGACGCATTTACATCGTAGTTGTCTATGGGCTCTAGTAACCACTTAACACCAAATGGGCTGTAAGCTCGTCCACCCATCTAATATATAAAAAAAATTAAAATAAAAGTTTGAAGAATGCATTAGAACTATGGGTACTACGAAAATTTAGAGAACATCTCTGCTAAGGCAGTATGATACGTTCACCAATCACATACATATATAGAAAGCAGCAGGATCGGAATGCAAACCGTTTTAAGACCTTGACTGCAGCAAATAAAATCATAAGCCTTCATCTGATGCGGTGGCAAGTCGATGGTGGCGGTGGCAAGTACCCCCAAAGATATTTTCAGCAGTGCGTGGCAAGTCTTTCTCGGTCTAGTATTATTTATAGTATATACCTAGTCGAATTCTTACAAACACCTAAAATAATCGGTCATAGTTTTCTTCGTCCGCATCGGCTGAAAGAATCGCGAGTGCCCGATAAGGGCCCGATCTGTAGTGAAGCTGTTAAATCTCTTACTGTAAACATGTATCAGATTATTTTTTTATTGCTTAGATGGGTAGACGAGCTCACAGCTTACCTGGTTTTAATTGGTTACCGGAGCCCATTAACATCTAAAACATAAATACGCCACCCACCTTGAGTTATAAGTTCTCAGGTCTCAATATAGTTACAATGGCTGCCCAACCCTTCAAGCCGAAACGCATTACTGCTTCACGGCAGAAATTGGCAGGGCGGTGGTACCTACCCGCGCGGACTCACAAGAGATCCTACCACCAGTAATTACGCAAATTATAATTGTGCGGGTTTGATTTTTACTACACGATGTTATTCCTTCACCGTGGAAGTCAATCGTGAACATTTGTTGAGTACGTATTTCATTACAAAAATTGGTACCCGCCTGCGGGATTCGAACACCGGTGCATCGCTCAACGCGAATGCACCGGACGTCTTATCCTTTAGGCCACGACGACTTGTCATAACTTTAATTAGTGATTTGTGCCAGTATTTTTAGTAGCTTCAGTACTACTGGTCTCCTGACTAGGTATCATTTCTGTTGCATCTTTAGACTTGGCTTACCTTTTATGTACAAGTTGACCGTTTTGTTTACTTTGGCGACGTGATTGGCGGCTACGCACGTGTATGCCCCGCAGTGTTCCAAAGACACATTCTTGATTATGAGTACACTGAAAACTTCCAGACTTCTTTCGACGATCTGAAATTGTGATTTTTCTTAGAGGTCGCGTTCGTGGCGGTTTTTCAATGTTGAGATTATTATTAATGATATAAAATGGAAGGAAAGAGACCTAGAAGCGTAGTCCGCATACTCTGGTCCGATCAAATTAGGAGAACACTAGACTCCAGCATCAATGTCGTTATCCGCTGCGCAGAGGACAGGAATGGAATGGAGGAACATAATCCTAACAAAAGTGCTCCGTAAAGGTCAAGACCCTCAGCACTGAGGAACACGACACAAGGAGGACGAGGAAATTACATTAGAGTAACTCACCGTTGTTGTGTAGTGGTATGCCTAAATCTTACCTTTAGACTAACAGGTATCTTCTTTCCATCTTTCAGCCAAGAGTAATAAACGGGTGAATCACCGCTTTTTAGATTACAGTGTATCTGGACTATTTGGCCTTCGTGAAGGTCTGGAGCCAGCATGATTTCTTCTAGCTGAGGAGCCTCAACCACAAGCAGTTCAAAGGACCTCTTGGCCATTTCGCCAGACGGACTCTTCACTATACACGAGTACAAAGCACCGTTGTCGTTCTTAAAAACTTTTGGTATCTTGAGGATCCCATCAGTTATTGTCGGGGATTGCCTTCTGCCTCTTAATTTCGGTTTTCGGCCGTAAATTTCTTTACTGAAGCTCGTGTGGTTCGTGAATCTTTTGAAGCGATTTGTTTGTGTCGTTGTGTCCGCTATTATTTCTTTCCCTTTGAATTCCCAGGCGATTTCTCTGTTAGAGGAGTAGAAGGACGGTTAAGGTTTGTTATTCGAAGAAGAAGATTCAGTTTGGCATAATGCTATGGAAATTTTAATGTATCCATCAGACAATTGCGTGATCAACTTAAATGAAAGAGTTCAGCAAACATAAAAACAATGTGGATAGGTTATGTAGATGATAATTAAGGAATATGCATAGTTTGAAACTTGCAACCATAAAATTAATCCACTTTATCTTTACATAGATTTTCTGTTCCAACTTAACATTCTCGTTTGACGATTTGGCTCGAAAACGGGGGGTTTTGTTTTGTTCTTATCGCGATTTTACCAAAAACAAATGGAATTTTACCTAACTGGGTACCCATAGTAGGGGCAGCGAAGTGTCACGCTCTGGCCGCTTTGAACCTTCAGTGGCGGCAGAGTTCTTATATACGGAGGACCTGGACAAAAAGGAAATAAAGCTATATTTTACAAAAGCTGTCCTAAACAGTAATAAATGTGATTGTGTGAGCGGGTTGGTGTCGCCGTCTTAACTTCTTCTACAATGAAGCAACTTTTTTGATCTGATGTTCTGGCTGGAATGGCATTCATCTCTCATGGGTTACGAACTCCTCATAAGTAAATGAAATGGCTGAATAATATCGATAATATTATATCGCGACTTCAGCTCAACAGGAAATCGATAAGTTGGAATTTAAATGGAATCTTGCACAAAAATATTTTACCGTATACATTAAGTCTGTCATGGTGAGCTATGCTGTTGTCGGCGTGATGAGCGACACAGGAGAAAAGTCCTCCATCTTCGACCCTCGCGTGTGATATGTTCAGTTGCGTGGTTACGCTCCCATCCGCTGTCATTGTTTGACCTATGCTGTACCTAAATTGAGGCATGGATTAGCACCAATGTTGTTTCCTTTTGCTAGAAATCGTAATAATTTACTTTTATAAAATAGCTAGCTGTACCCGTCCGCTTCGCTGGGCATAAAATTAACATTGTTATTTCTCACCCCCACAAAGGTTCTCATCATTAACGACCCCGCAACTGGTGTTGGGAGTCCAACACTCATATAAATATTAGCCTATCCATTAAGTACATGTATTTTCTACATGGAAACCAAGTTTCAAGTCAATCGGATGCATGGTTCCGTAGTTATAACGGAACATCCGTAAATATAAATATATTAGTATAGATGAATGCGCATCCAAAAGCTCATACACGAAATACCTTATATTGGTTACTTGTTTTAATTCGAAGTGTTACCCAAGCGCTATGACATATCCTTCTTCAAACGAGGCTTGCGGAGAGTACTTAACGGTGGCAGCGGCTTGGCTCTGCCCCTAGCATTGCTGAAGTCCATGGGTGACGGTAACCACTCACCATCAATCAGGTGGGGCGTATGCTCGTCTGCCTATAAGGGCAATAAAAATTAAAAAAATAATTGAACACATAGGGTGCTAAGTAGGATAACGTATTATCAAAATCAGTCCTATCAGATTTACAGTTCTTCCACAAAAATAATAAAAGACAGAAAATTTTACGAATTCACATTAAGAAAATGACGCGAATTTTCATGAAAATGCAATTTAAGTTTTTAACACATTTCTTTGATCACTATCAGTGAGCGCTAAAACTCTTTAAATATATCAAAAGTTCCTTCCCGTTTAATTCTTTATTATATTCATCACCGACAATCTCAAATGTGATATATCATCGTTCATACCTCGAATCAGTGTTGGAAGATATAACCAAACCGTCTCTCTCCCACACAAGTTTTGATGGATGCGGTCCGCTCACAGTACATTGAAAGTTTACCTGCGAGAAATAAATCATTTTATACGAGAAAAGCACAATACAATATCGTCTGTACGCTTTCTAAGGAACACACGGGATGTATTAGAATTGTCAGCGACAACGAAGATAAGTTACAGTGTTGGTAAATTCTGACACCGCAGCACTAAAAATTACATTAGAAATGTTTTTTTTATTTATTGCTTAGATGGGTGGACGAGCTCACAGCCCACCTAATGTTAAGTGGTTACTGGAGCCCATAGACATCTACAACGTAAATGCGCCACCCACCTTATAAGTTCTAAGGTCTCAGTATAGTTACAACGGCTGCCCCCACCCTTCAAACCGTAACGCATTACTGCTTCACGGCAGAAATAGGTAAGACGGTGGTACCTACCCGTCCGGACTCACAAGAGCTCCTACCACCAGTCATTACGCAAATTATAATTTTGGGGGTTTGATTTTTATTACACGATGTTATTCCTTCACCGTGAAAGTCAGTCGTAGTTTAGAAAAATTGGTACCCGCCTGCGGGATTCGAACACCGGTGCATCGCTCAACACGAATGCACCGGACGTCTTATCCTTTAGGCCACGACGACGTTTAGTATGTTTTCCGCGTTACAATTGAGTGTTTCGTCGAATTGAAAGGTTGATTGGGAATATTCTAAATGAAGGTGTTTGGACAGCATTACTTTTAATGTGTTGGGTCCGAAAATTAACGTAGGGTGAGAGGTGAGGCAAAGTGGAATTGTTTATTGAATTATGCAAAAATTCATAATTTCAGATGACATTTACGATAGGAAGCAGCTTGGCTCTGCCCCTGACATTGCTGACGTCATGAGCGACAACTTCCACTCACCATTGGTGGGCCGTATGCTTGTCTACACACAAGGGTAATAACATAAAAAATTTATAATAAACAATAAAAAAAAACACTTTTTTTCGACATGTCGAGTGGAACGAAGATCTGTCGATAAAGCTGGCTCATTTTTACTGGTGGTAGGACCTCCTGTGAGTCCGCACGGATATTTCGAGGTGACTGGCGCATTTACGTTGTGGATGTCTATGGGCTCCAGGAACCACTTAACATCAGGTGGGCTGTGAGCTCGTCTACCCACCTAAGCAATAAAACGAACGATATCTTTGCCATTTTTACTGTTTTTTTCCTATATATTCGCTGGTAGCCTAGGAGGCTATTGCAGCTACGCGCGGACGTGTAAGTGATCTCACGGGTTCAACTTGAGAGAACTTGCTAACACTAGCCCTAGCAAGAGCAGTGCTTAGAAGAATCTACCACCGGATTGGAATCGCGATCCACTGAGAAGATCCGGCGAGCCATTTTTACAAGCTTAAGAGAGACAAATACGATTTTCTATTTTCTCGATGAGCTAGAAACTTGAAGATTTTAATGTAACTCAGAATTGGAGGACAATTAAGGAAATGCAATTAAATATGGTGAGGACATTTAAGGTCATTTTAATAACATGGTGTTGGATAAATTTTTATTTTTGCTAATTCAACTTACGTCAACTCCTGGTGTGACGGTTGTCTCACTGAAGTACTGCGATAAGATCATTTGCAAGCTTCTCTTATGACGAGTCTTAGTAGATCTTAAATCTGCAATAACAGTTTTTTTTTAATTATTATTATTAAATTCTTTTATTTCAGATAATAATCCATATTAATGTTAGTAGTAGTGATCTCTTAAAAATATGTTAGTAAGGACACAATAATAAAAGAATACAACAACATAAATGTTTTTTTTTTATTGCTTTGATGGGTGGACGAGCTCACAGCCCCCCTGGTGTTAAGTGGTTACTGGAGCCCATAGACATCCACAACGTAAATGCGCCACCCACCTTGAGATACAAGTTCTAAGGTCTCAAGTATAGTTACAACGGCTGCCCCACCCTTCAAACCGAAACGCATTACTGCTTCACGGCAGAAATAGGCAGGGTGGTGGTACCCACCCGCGCGGACTCACAAGAGGTCCTACCACCAGTAATTATGCAAATCATAATTTTGCGGGTTTCATTTTTACTACATACGAACGCAATAGCGGCATTACGAGCAAATTTTGTGGACCTCTCTGCAATGATTGAGAAAAGGTCCATCTAATCTATAAAATATCTAGAAATTATAAGAATAATTAAGAATCATCATCATCATTATCCTGCCCTTCTCCCAGTCACCTGGGGTCGGCGCAACATGTTTTCTCCTTCCACACTTCTCAATCATATACCATTTCTTCGTTCACTCCCCTCTTTCCCATATCGTCTTTCACGCAATCCATCCATTTCTTCTTAGGTCTACCTCTTCTTCTATATTCTTCCACATTCATAGTTAACACTCTCTTACCAAACTCATTTTCATTTCGTCTCATAACAAGAATAATTAAGAATAATCTAGAAATTATAAGAATATATAAAATATATCTAATCTGGAAATTTTAAGCGCCTGGATTCGCCTGAACGCTATCAAGATTCTGTGGCCTAATGGATAAGGTCTGCGTATTATCATATTCAAATCCAGTGATGAAAATTTTGCTGACAAACTCTCATTTAAATCAAGCCGAAAACTATTAATTATTAATTTAGTATCACAATAAAAGTATTTCGATACAGTTGGGGTTTCGATCTAGAGGCTGTGATTAAATCATTACTTTGGACCAGGTACGGTCTGACTACAATTACTGGGGTAGGACCTCTTGTGAGTCCGCACGGGTAGGCCTATTTCTGTCGTGAAGCAGTAATGCGTTTCGGTTTGAAGGGTAACTATACTGAGACTTTAGAACTTATATCTCAAGGTGGGTGGCGCATTTACGTTGTAGATGTCCATGGGCTCCTGTAACCACTTAACACCAGGTGGGCTGTGAGCTCGTCCACCCATCTAAGCAATAACAAAATATAATCATAGATAGTAATATCGCGTTATTTTATGAGTAATAAAAGTCCTTTTTTTTTTTAAATAGGCCAGCGAGAAGTATTTCTTATACCTGACAGCAGCGTGGTCGCGTTTTGGCAAACCCCGTTTTCATTCGGAGCACTATAAAATCTGAAACAAAAAACATCTCGTTCAAGACCAATTATTTTTAATGATCGGAAATCGAATCTTTGTTAATATTATTAAAATCTTTTCTGATTTTAGTGCTTTTTGTTGAAAATCGATCTTAATCAGACGTTTTTTTAGACCTCTATTTTAATGAACATTTTCGTGATGTCTGGTTAATAATGCATCTTTGTTAGATACCACTTTTGGTGGGCTTTTATTAATTGTAATATTATATGTGAATATATTATTTGTATTGTATAATCTAAAGATTGTCTTAGTTTCCAAACCTTTCGATTTGGAAGGAAGGATTACTTGTGGCTCTCCAGAAGCTCGGAGGACCTTTCTCGAGTTTCTCCAGGACAGATGGCAGAGCCAAGAGGAGACACTTTTCAAGCCCGATCGATTGGCGCGAGAGAGGGATATGTCGATGGTACTCGTACATACCCGGGCGGACTTATATTAATTATGGACATTATAATTTTTGGTTGTTTGTATTTTATTACACAATGCCTTATACGGCATCCCTTCATTCGTGAATGTGTGTTATATAAGTATGCATGTATTTCATTCGAAACATTGGTACCTTTTTTTACTGGTGGTAGGACCTCTTTTGAGTCCGCGCGGGTAGGTACCACCGCCCTGCCTATTTCTGCCGTGAAGTAGTAATGCGTTTCGGTTTGAAGGGCGGGGCAGCCGTTGTAACTATACTGAGACCTTAGAACTTATATCTCAAGGTGGGTGGCGCATTTACGTTGTAGATGCCCATGGGCTCCAGTCCAGCTCGACCCATCAATGTAATAAAAAAAAAACTATACCAACGGTATTTGAACATCGACACAGTCGCATCGCTTGATATTGGTACAACAGCCTCATTCATTTTAGGCCTTTGAAGTCGAACCCTTTGTAACTGGATATTCAGTCGTGTCAGTGGTTCGTATGAAATGTGAACATGATTAAAAGTTTTTATTTTTAAGTGTGAAGTCTTATTTTAAAGTGGTGTAGTTATAAAAATATGTGTGGTGTCGTGGGACACCGGATAGGAACGAAGTTCCTTATTGTAAAAATATAAATTTAAAGTTCTATTCGAGGTATAAAGAAAATAAAACTGGAGGTTTCGCAACAACCCACGGTCATTCGGTAACGTGCGAACTTATTGTGGTACACTTCATTCACGGTTGTTTGCTTAAGAGTTAGTGTATTGCGCAAACGAACGCTCTGAGATCGTGGTCAATGAATGATAAAAAAAATATGTTATTTTTTGTACGTTATTACAAAGTTAAGTCGTACACTGTGTGCATCTCTATATATAAAAATGAATTGATGTTCGTTAGTCTCGCTAAAACTCGAGAACGGCTGGACCGGTTTGGCTAATTTTGGTCTTAATTTATTTGTGGAAGTCCAGAGAAGGTTTAAAATGTATATAAGTATAAAAATTCTCGGAATTAAATAAAAATAACAATTTTTTTATTCTTTTTATGTATCCCCCATTGGACGGATTCCTTTGGTTTGTTTTAAGTTTATTTTATACAAAAGTTTAGGTCTTTTATTTATCGATTGAGGCACTACGAACTCTGCCGGGTCAGCTAGTGTGTCATAAAAACAGCTACGTAAGTATACCACTCTGGCACAAGAATTAATAGAAACTGTTGCAGACCATTGGGAAACTGCTCTAAAGAAGGCAAGGAAAAAGCATATACTACAAACACTATACTTAAATCTATGTTTATTAGATGGAAAGATCATTTATATTACTTATTTAATTAATTAACGCGTGTGCCATGAAATAAGGAAATTCCCATCACCATTCCTTACCTCGAATCACCATAAGTGAACCACAGAAGAAAGTAATTGCAAACAGGATTTCAAAATAGCCGAGTAAAAGTCGACATTCCATATTCTCTAGTTCCAGAATCAAATCAAAACATGCTTCGGTAGGCAGCGGCTTGGCTCTGCCCCTGGCATTGCTGACGTCCATGAGCGACGGTGACCACTTACCATCAGGTGGGCCGTATGCTCGTCTGCCTAAAAAGGCAATAAAAAAAAAAAAAACTACTGGCGGTAAGATGTCTTGTGAGTCCGCACGGGTGGGTACCACCACCCTGCTTATTTCTGTCGTGAAGCCACAGATCATATTTTATGATCTGTGCATGAAGCAGTAATGCGTTTCGGTTTGAAGGGTGGGGCAGCCGTTGTACTGTAGAAACTGAGACCTTAGAACTTATGTCTCAAGGTAGGTAGCGACCTTTACGTTGTAGATGTCTATGGGCTGCGGTGATCACTTAACATCAAGTGGGCCGTGAGCTCGTCCACCCAACTAAGCAATAAAAAAAACTTTCTTGTATTTACTGTGTTATTTTACTCAAATATATTTGACGACATCGAATTAAATTATTATTATAGAAATTTTATAGCTTTAATAGATTCTCAATTTTTACACTAATTAATTTGTTGTCGAAGACATCAATCAGGCAAAAAATAGAGAACAACTTTTGTATGAGCTAAAGGTAGTTCAGAAATTTAAGCCCGTTACAATATTTCCTTCCGTGTATTTTCGAACTCTAAAAACCACTCTAATTTGTATATGTGACCATTACGACAATGACAATGTTAATAAAAGTCTATTCAGATCCAACAAGTTGGACATAAATAATCCGAGAGATTTATTCCATGAGGTATACTTCTGTGTCGCCTATTTTATTGTCACGATAAAACCCTTGTGGTCGTCCCCTACCATCGTATTTTTTTTTACTGTTCATAATAAATTTGTCACTGTAACATTTTGTTTTGATCTTTATCACACGATGGTATTGCTATATTTGAAGTCATCGTGGCCTAAAAGATAACACGTCTGGTGCATTCGTATCTAGTGATGCACCGGTGTTCGAATCCCGTTGGCGGATACTAATTTTTCTAATGAAATACGTACTTTACAAATGTTCACGATTGACTTCCACGGTGAAGGAATAACATCGTGTAATAAAAATCAAACCCGCAAAATTGTAATTTGCGTAATTACTGGTGGTAGGTGTACTCTTGTGAGTCCACACGGGTAGGTACCACCGCTCTGCCTCCTTCCGCCGTGAAGCAGTAATGCCTTTCGGTTTGTAGGGTGGCGCAGCCGTTGTAACTATACTGAGACCTTAGAACTTATATCTCAAGGTGGGTGGCGCATTTACGTTGTAGGTGTCTATGAGCTCCAGTAACCACTTAACACCAGGTGGGCTGTGAGCTCGTCCACCCATCTAAGTAATAAAAAAAAGTAGTTCGCGAACTTGTGCCTCGTAGGTATTTATTTCTTAAGTTTGATATCTGTTTGCAGGATTTTAATATCGGTACAGTCACGGTACTAGATAATGAGTATCTTATTTTTGGCCACGATGATTTATTTGATGAATAACATTTTTTCATTATTGCCAATCCACGCAGAGATCATACACATCGCAATATTTTTGTTTAGTTTCCTTGCCACCTCCGACGATTTAAGGAGTCTTCGGGATTTTGGACTATGGTGGAATTCGGTATTGC